AACATAGTATATCTATAGATATAATATTGATTAATATTGATTGATGTTTCGTTGGTATTTTTAGTTATGCTTTATGTATCGTTTGCTGATTTTATCTTCCCACGTACTCTGCCATGCTAATTTTTTTGCAGAAGTGCAGATTATAAATGCATTAAATCTGTAAAAAATACTTAAGAGTCCTAGCGTGTGTCCCCGAGACATCATCCAAAGTGTGATGTCATATATCTCCTGCCGAGAGAAGGAAATTTAAAAGCTCTAAACTTCCTTCAGCAGATGTCCCAAAGCAGATCGTGACCAGTTCCTCCAGACTCACAGCCAGGCCTAGGAGGTGTTGCAGGGCATCACAACTTGGATGCAGCGAAGGGGAGAGGCAGGAGGGTGACGAATGTTGGCCTTGCACAGGATGCTGCTGAAATTCAAAAGACCAAAGCCTGTCCCTGCCCAAGCTTGACAAGGGAAGCCTGTAAAAAACAGATGGAACCAGGAGGGCCTTCAGATTAGGTGTATCTAACAGCATAGACAGAAGTTTGCTGAGCTTGGCAGAACGGCTTTGAGAAACAAAGGCCTCCTTGAACTCAAGGCAGTTCTCAAAATGATACAGATTGCTGAGCCTGGAAGAGAGGCTTCAAGAACAGAAAAGTTACTTATAAGAAAGATTCTATGAATACGGTGTGTTCTCAGACTAGGGTCAGAAGACTTGCATTTCTCCCATTTTTGGTGTGTGTTTTCCTCCAAAGGGAACATTTTAGATTGCTGTAACTTGAGAAATGGCATTGCATTTCTTTCTTTGTAACACTTGCATGTCTTGTATTCCTTTCTGCAGAAAACAGCAGAGAAGGGATAGCAAGGACACAGCAGCCTTGCTATTGGTGACAGCCAAGTAAAGTCTTAGGGAGCTTCTGTGACATCACAGCAGCATAGCTAATGGTGGTGTGGCATCCATAAAAGTTTACTGTGTGCCATTAGAGCAGATCAGCCAATGATACCAAGCACAGCTGCAGGTAAAAAGGTAAAAGGCTGAGATTTTTAAGGAGAAAAACCATAGTACTGGTGAGTCCTTTGCTAGTTATAAATTTATTGTGTCCAGGCATTTTGTGTTCTTTCATTGTGCCTTCAGTCATGGAGGACATTGGCACAGGGAGAATAATTGCTCCTGCCTTCAAAGGCCCAGATACTTTGTTTAAAAAATGCAGTCTCAGTCTTTTTAAAATGCCTTACTTTTTCATACAATGGCATCAGTGGTGGGGTTGGGGAGAGAGCTGACACCATGATTCTTATGCAATGACTCATTGTAACAAATATTCACGGTGAAATCCTATACCTATTTACTCAGAACTAAATCCCACTGAGTGTTACTCCTAGCATCGAGAGCGTAGGATTGCAATCTCAAGGACTAAAAAAACCAAATCAGAACTATCCTGTTTTAGACTTTTACTCAGCCCCCACTTCTGAGCATTTACAACCTGAGCCTTTCTACGCAAGCTTCCCTTTCCTCTTTAAGCTGATTCTTCCAGGGCCTGGAAGAATCAGTATTTTTGAGCCAGGAAAGCAATAAGGTGTGGACTGAGCTTTAACCATATTCTGCCACCTACTTTGGCAGCTCTCTTTAGCTTGTGTGTTTTAAAAAAATATAAAAGAAAAAATAAAAGAAAGCAAAGCGAAAGTCGTTCCTTGACTCTGAATGATGTTATAATGGTGCAAGAATCAAATTCTAGCTACTGAACCCCTAAAGGTAAAGGGACCCCTGACCATTAGGTCCAGTCGTGGCCGTCTCTGGGGTTGCGGCGCTCATCTCGCTTTACTGGCCGAGGGAGCCGGCGTACAACTTCTGGGTCATGTGGCCAGCATGACTAAGCCGCTTCTGGCAAACCAGAGCAGCGCACAGAAATGCCGTTTACCTTCCCCCCGGAGCGGTACCTATTTACCTGTTTGCACTTTGACGTGCTTTCGAACTGCTAGGTTGGCAGGAGCAGGGACCGAGCAACGGGAGCTCACCCCATTGCGGGGATTCGAACCACTGACCTTCTGATTGGCAAGTCCTAGGCTCTGTGGTTTAACCCACAGCGCCACCCGCATCCCATCCACTGAACCCCTAGAAGGAAGCTAATTGAAGGTGGTTTGAAGGTACATTCCCTGCAGATGTGCTGGAAACAGCAATCTGCATGGGACCCTTGTCTGTTTGCATCTCAGAGGTGGGGTGCCTAGTGCTTCCCCCCAGGGGGTACTCAAGGATACACAGTACCGGCACGTCTTTTTTTGGATGTTAAAAAGTCCGGCACTTACTGTAAAAACTTCATGGTGAGTACCAGCACCCATTATTCTAGAAAAAAACAGTGGGAATGTGCATGTGTGTATTTTGTCCTATGATGAACACTGCGTTGAAGCTAGATGGGTAAACCACACTGCGTTCAGCGGTGGAGGCGAGGGCGGGGCAAGCTGCCCATAGGGGCGGGTGAGGGTAGGGCACTCCACAGTCTGCCTGCCTTCTCCCACTCAGCTGCCCTTCAGCTGCGGGGGGGGGGGGGGAGGCTGTGGGTGGACTGTTTGGGCAGCACAGAGTCTGTGTGTGCTCAAGCCATCATGTCTCTCCCAGGAGAGACGTGTGGCTCGGGCACGCTTCAGGCCCCGTGGTGAGTGCTGCCCAGCATTTTGTCACCCCCTCAGTGGTGACACCCGGGGTGAACCACATCCACTGCACCCCCCTTCCTCCGTCTCTGACTGAGTTCCCACTGAAACCAGTGAATTATGATTATATTTTCACATTTTGGGGAGGGGGATCTAACAGCCTGTATCCAAACCTACTTTTCTTTGGCACTTCTCTGTTTTTCCATTCATTCTGGGACCTTATGGTAAAGGGCAGATAAGAAATCTAAAGAAGTAATGAAGATTATCTTCTCCATCATGGAACAGGGGTGAACCAGAATAGACCAAGGGATTGGGATTTTTCTTCTCCATCTTATTTCTCTGAGGAAGAAATAAGGGAGAGGATGTGGGTTCGGCTGTTTGTCCGACACTTTCTTTCAAAACTCCTGTCATTAATAATAATAACAAGGTGCTTGGGGAACAGGGGAAAAGCAATCGAATTAAGCGGCGGTTTCTACAAACCTAAAGGACAGTCTGTTCTCAGCTGGTCTTGTTCTATGATCTCATAATAGAAGCCATGGTTTCAGCACTCTCCTCTGTATAATAACTGCCAAGCAAGGAACAAAGAATCAAGAAAAATCTTGCTCAAAAATCCCTTTTCTCCACATCAAGGAGAACGATTAGGCTGCTAGTCAAAACAGCACAAAGAGAAGCATTTATTTTACTTTATTTCCTTTGTGTGGCACCAAGGAAGGCGTCACACATTCAGAACAGAAATTAAGACCTGGATTCGCCTTTTCACCTGCCGGTTCCTCTTGACCCGACTGTGTGGTCGTCACAAAACACTTGTGTGGAATGCACACAGGCTGGTCTCCTTTGTGTCTGCTGGGTGAACCGGCAGATTTCAGTACCTTTCTCATGGATAATGGGAACCAGTATGGCATTCCCTTGTTTTGTGGGTGGAGCAGGAACCACTCAGCAGTGGAGCTGTAACTTGTTACATTCCAATTCAGTGTGTTAGGGCTAGCATACAAAGGCCTCAAATTGCTTGGGACCCAAGGAGCACCTTCTCCAGGATCACAGGAAGGGAGGCCCTGGCAGCTGCTGGGTGCTGCCCAGTTGGTTTGGATCTGGGTGGGACAGGGCCTCCTTGGTGGTGGTCCCCTGTTTGTGGCATGCACTCCCTGGCGAGGTGCCTCCTTCTCCTTTCTCCTTCCAGGAGGAATTTCAAAACATTCCTGTTTTAAACCAGGCACTTGATTGATGGTTGAAAGAAAGAGATTTGTGGAATGCCAGCCAGCAATAGGCAGGTATTTCTGCAGGGAGAGCACTCCACAACACTGGTGCCATCAGAGGGGGAAAACAACCCATCTTGATGTTACCACAAACTGATCATCCTCAGGTCATGGCAAAACCGACCGAGTTCCATTAGCTGATCTTAATGCTCTTGCCGGATGGGAACTCAGTCTCAACAAGTGGAATGCCCATCACTGGCTATGCATTCAGAAAGATAGGCTATGACTGAGAGGGTGGTGAACTTCCGGTTCCAGCTTCGCCTTTTTAGGCCTGTGGGAACATTTGGATTTTTGTGTGGGCACCAAGGGCCCCACTTCTTCCCCCCCCTTCCATGGATCAGTCCTCTTGAGAGGGTGGGGAAATGTGTGTGCACATATACACACAGAATTCTCTTTCCCAGGAGATCTGTGTAAAATTCAGATCAGGGAGAATTAACCTGAGCTTTGAAAACCACCTAGAACTGGGAAGAGGAAATGAGAGAGTGTGTCTCACTTCCTCTGTGCATACTTTTCAAGGGAAACAGAAACCCATGCTCATAACCAAGAGATTAGTTAGGGGGGGTGGCACCATGGCACCATGAGACCCACAAGTACAGTGGTACCTCGGGTTACATACGTTTCAGGTTACATACGCTTCAGGTTACAGACTCTGCTAACCCAGAAATAGTACCTCAGGTTAAGAACTTTGCTTCAGGATGAGAACAGAAATTGTGCTCCAGCGGCAGCGGGAGGCCCCGTTAGCTAAAGTGGTACCTCAGGTTAAGAACAGTTTCAAGTTAAGAATGGACCTCCAGAACGAATTAAGTACTTAACCAGAGGTACCACTATACAGCACTTGCGGCCCCTGCGTTAGAAAGAGAAGAAAGAGACACACAAAGAAAACTTGCGCAATCACTTATGCACCCAGTCTTTCATCTCAGGAAACCCCATTTCTCATCCAAGTCGTATGATTTCTTTTGACCATTCTTCTCCAGTGTGCCTATCAGCAGCTGATAGATCTCCTTCAGTGGACGGGGCGTTTTTGCATGAGCCTGTCTTTTACACAGTGCTGCCCAGTCCATTAGAAAGTCCCAAGTATGCGTTGGTGTATACAGAGCCGTGAATCAAGGGTAACCTGAATCAATGGCATTTTCCAGTGAAAGGCAAGTTAAACCACAACAGTGTTTATTTTTTGGGTTTCAAGGGTCACAAGATCACAGCCTCTGCCGAAAATCCTCCGTAGCAAAGTCTGCTTATTTAATGAAGAGCTCTCTAATGATCGTTCCAATCCAATATAGAATCTGGCAGATAAAACCTGGACTCCCACCAACATGTAATTTAACTTCATCAAGCCGGGAGACATGATTGAGAGAGTGTGCCTAAGAACCGACTCTGAAGGGCACTTCATAATTGCAGTGCTAATGGAAATACTCCATCAGTACTAATTTATTTCACATATCTAGAGAGTCTCCAAAATAAGTGAAATGACTTCGCGGCAAATATCAGTTCTGAAGGTCACACTGTTTTAAATCCTCTTAACTTACTCGCAATGTGGGAGAAAAGGGCAGCTGCTGCTATCACTCACAACATCTGTGCAAATCCTGCTCCGACATAATTTGTAGATAGCCAATTTACAGATGGTATGATCTGGACTGGCCACAGTTCTTTCAGAGATCAAATTCCCAGCTGCAAAGTGTAGCCAGTGTCACATTGATGCCATTTTTATAGCCAAGATGTAGCAATCACCTCTCAACAGAATGGCCGCAGCTCAGTGGTAGAACATCTGCTTTGGCATGTATAATGTCCCTGGCTCAGTCTCCAATATCTTCAGATAAGGCTGGAAGTGTCTCAGTGTCTGAAACCCTGGAGAGTCATCGCTATTCATCATAGACAATGCTGAGCTGGATGGACCAATGGTTTGAGAAAGAGGTAGCCTCCAGGTGTTGTTGACTACAACTCCCATCAGCCCTAGACAAGATGGTCAGGGATGATGAGAGTTGTAGTCCAACATCTGGAGGGTACCACACTGGCTACCCTTGAAGGCTGCAATCTCTGTTTACCAGCAAGCCCCAAGCCCCCATTTGTTCTTCGACTGCCACATGCTGTCTATGAAGCTTCCCTGATGGCTAACCAGAAGCCACAGCTGAAGTGCAGAGGCAGAAGCTCCACATCTGTGCTGACTCTCTGTCCCCTTTCTGGCATAATTGAAGGTGTTGATTTTTACATATAAATTCTACCTAAAAAATGCATGCCATATTACGTAGAAGAGACTACTATTTCCTCTAGAAGGACAGGGGAGGACATTCTGGGGATGGTGTTGTGCTGTAAATCAAAGACAGCAGAGCATCAAACAAGAAATCTCAGAAGGGGCAGGACTCCTGCACAGAATAACCACAGGTGACAATACCAGGCACCAAAAGTAATTTAGTACAGGGCAAATTCAGGGAGGATACTAGACTGATGGCTATACAGTGGTACCTCGGGTTACATATGCTTCAGGTTACAGACTCCGCTAACCCATAATTATTACCTCGGGTTAAGAACTTTGCTTCAGCATGAGAACAGAAATCGTGCTCCGGCGGCGCGGCGGCAGCAGGAGGCCCCATTAGCTAAAGTGGTGCTTCAGGTTAAGAACAGTTTCAGGTTAAGAACGGACCTCCAGAATGAATTAAGTACTTAACCAGAGGTACCACTGTATACTGTAATAGTACCTCTGGTTGCGAACAGGATCCATTCTGGAGCCCCGTTCACAACATGAGCAGAACGCAACCTGCGCCTGCGGGTCACAATTCACCGCTTCTACGCATGCGCATGACATCATGTTGAGCATCTGCGCATGTGCAAGCGGCAAAACCCGGAAGTAACCCTTTCCGGTACTTCCGGGTCGCCACAGGACGCAACCTGAAAATGCTCAACCTGAAGCAAACACAACACGAAGTATGACTGTATTACCTCCATGTCACAACCCATTGCTAGTGATAGTGGTTTTAAGGTAGTATGACTGATTTGGCCCCACTGGGTGCTGTGCTGCAGAAGCAGCCACAACAGTGATGTAGAATGGAGGCAAGGGGCACTGAATTTCAGCATCACACATGGCACTGCTGAAATATAAGAGCCCAAAGTCTGCCACTGCTGGTGATCACCATACGTAATGTGCTATTGTGTTCAGGCCCTGCTTGTGGGCGGGGGTGGCAACTTGAATAAAATACTGGGGAGGGCCTAGATAAGCCCCGCCCTGCATAACTGATCACTGTGCACATGCACACCATTTGAATGGCAATGCCCATCACCTTTGGGGAGCTCCCTCAAATCTTTTACTGGGGGGGCCTGAAGGGACCTCAACCCCTATGAGTTGGCTCCTATACTTTGGACTTCCTATAGCCATCAGGTTGACCGCTGTGGGAGATGCAATGCTGGACTAGATGGGCCTTTGATCAGATCCAGCAGGGCTCCTTCCATCAGTAGTTTTAAGATCCACGAAGCTAAGACTTCTAACAAGTCCATTTCATCTAGGCACGATTTGTGGACGAAAAGGGCACACTGAACAGCATTATCCTCAATGGCTCCACTTGTTATGGAACTCCAGTGGAGGTTTTCCCCCTCCCTCTCCTCCTTCCTAAAAGGTCTTTCTGTGCTTAATCAGTGCTTATGGCCAGCCGAACTTTGGAGTGTTTAAAAGTGAGGTTAAAAAAGCATGACATTATGTAAGTGCCACATATCCCCTTTGGTCCCCTGCCCTTTTCTTGCAGGGCAGCCTGGAGACTTTGTCCCTTTGGTTTCCTAGGAGTCAGCAAAGGTTTATAACAGAGAGATAGTTTTGGAGATGGCTGTGTTTGCACAAGATTAAAATCTTTACCCTCAAGTGGCCTGGGTGATGTTGACCGAGCCACAGATAACGGTTGTGAAGGTAATGATGGGTCTATGCATATTGCATAGGTCTCCAGTATGGTGCCTGCTCATACACACTCAGAGGCTATCCCTGGCACCTGCATAAGAACAGAAGAAGCAGCTTTGGCCCATCTGACTCCATTGTCAGGGCTGGAGTCAGGTGCAGGCCACCAGCAAAGCAGTAACTCACCCCAGGCCAGTGAAGTTAACTCTTTATTCAAGGAAACAACCACAGTTCTGGCCTAGTGGCCTCTTTCTAGGAGAAGAAGAAGAGTTTGGATTTGATATCCCGTTTATCACTACCCGAAGGAGTCTCAAAGCTGCTAACATTTTCCTTTCTCTTCCTCCCCCACAACAAACACTCTGTGAGGTGAGTGGGGCTGAGAGACTTCAAAGAAGTGTGGCTGGCCCAAGGTCACCCAGCAGCTGCATGTGGAGGAGCGGAGACGCGAATCCGGTTCACCAGATTACGAGTCTATTGCTCTTAACCACTACACCACGCTGGAGGTCTTGTCCTGATGAAGCAGTTGCGAGGACTGAAGGTCCCCACCTTCCCAGTGACCCCCTAGGACTCCTCCTCTCCAGGGCCTTTCCCACGCAGTCTCAGGCTGCGTCTGTGCACAACCACCCTCTGCTCTGTCTGCTTCCTTTCTCTGTGAGTTCGAGGGGACCTGAAGGGAAGGCAGCTGGTTGCAGCAGGAGGGAGAGACTCCCTGGATTCTTCTGCAGCCTGTCTCCACACTGCCTCTTGGCCTCCGCTTGAAACTCAGAGTCAGAATCTGAACTGTCACAGCCTCTTCCTGTTCACTAAACCCTGTCACCTCTTCTACTTCTGACACTTCCTCCTTCCAGTCTGCTGCCTCTTGCCACTTGCCTGTCGCCCCACCACCATTCCCCGGGCTCTGAGCCTTCTTCCCTTGGTGGTTTCCCAGCTAGGAGCCTCCTACCACTCCTCTGCATCCAGCCACACCATGACATCAATACAGTGGTACCTCGGGTTAAGTACTTAATTTGTTCTGGAGGTCTCTTCTTAACCTGAAACTGTTCTTAACCTGAAGCACCACTTTAGCTAATGGGGCTTCCCACCGCGCCGCCGGAGCACGATTTCTGTTCTCATCCTGAAGCAAAGTTCTTAACCCGAGGTACTATTTCTGAGTTAGCGGAGTCTGTAACCTGAAGCATATGCAACCCAAGGTACCACTGTATTATCTACAATAACAGGCAGCGCTTCTCCAGGCTTTCTGGTAGGAGTCTCTCCCAGCTGTACCCGGAAATGCTGAGGACTGAATTTGGGACAAAGCAGATGTTCTACCACTGAGCTACAGCCAATAGGAGCCAATAACTTTTTTGGGGGGGGGAGAGACTTGCAGATGGGAGGGGACACTTGCAGCATGCAGGCAACTCCCACAACAGTTTCTGTAGCTTGCAAATGTGCCCATGGGCCCAGAAAAAGTTGGCAAACCCTGCCACTGTATAACCCGCCCTGAGTCCTAGGATAGAAAAGAAGCTTCCAAGCCGCTCTGTTCTCTTGCTTGAAGGATTCTCGTCTGAATTGTGCAGTGAGTGTTGCCATGTCAGGCCTTGGGGCTTAGTTGACTCTGAGGATATTCTGTTCCATTTCCTCATTCGGCTCTTGGTTGTGGTGGTAAAAGTACGCAAGAGCCCTCCTCCTTATCTCTCCTGAACAGCGCAACTGAAAAGAGATGCGCCGTTGGGGGCACAGAAGAGGCAACGACTTTTTCACTGCACGTGTGAACGCTTCCAACTTTTGTGACATCTGTGAACGTTGCACAGAATGTTTGAAACGGATCGGTGCCCTCTGGGGCTTTTATACACCGGCTTTGCAAAAGCAGGAAATGAAAAAGAAAAAAAAAGTGTGTGTGGGGGGGTGTAGTTTTGTTGCTTTAAAGCTATTTCATTCTCAGGCACCACAAACGCCCTTAGCCAAAATCCACATCATTCCCCCGCTCCGCCCCAGAGTCCGCTGAACCGGGTGCCGGGGGGCCGGGTCAGCGCGCTCGAATCCCCCCACCCGAAATCCCGAGGCGCCTCCCCCTCGCCGCTCCGATTGGACACCTCCGCCGCCGGGTAAATGGGGTGAGCGGCGGGCTGGGGTGTGCAGCGCATTGGAGAAACAAGCGAAGTCAGCCCGGGCCCGCCCTCCGCTCTGGAGGAGGTGCGGCGGCGGCAGGCGGGGTGGGGAGGAAGGGGAGCCAAGTCTCGCTCTTCCTCCCTGCCCCCTCCCCGCAGGTATCTGTCCCAACTGGGAACTCAAGGGCGACAGCGGCTCCCCACCCCCATCTCCACGGGGCCGAAGGGCAAGGCTGCAGCCAGCGTGGAAGGGACCGGGTGGAAGGGGGGGATGTGAAGAGCAAGGCTTTACGCAACCTGCGCGCTTTCTAGGCGACCAGCATCCCCTTGCTCCATCTGCCCAGCTGCTTCGGAATAGCTCCGCACTCCAGTGGCGGAATCTGGCCTCCAACTCCCCCCCCCTTCCTCAACTCTCCGCCCTCCCCTTTTCCCACTTGTCGTGTGGGTCCGCCTACCCCGCCGGCCGGCCTCTGACTTACACAGGACCGCTCAACCCGGTTGTCTCCCCTGCTAGCGCTCCGCTCAGCCTATGCCGCGCGTCTGATCCTAGGCGAAGCAGGACGGTGCCAAAAGTAAAATTAAAAAATCGCCCTTCAGCGCTGCCAAGTAAGCTTGTTTAGTTAGTTAGGATCCGCGGGCGCTTCAAGAGGGTGTCGCTTTGCTTTTCCTTTCCTCTGCCCTTTCGTAGTTATTATGAGCTGCTAATCCCCCTCCAAAAGTTGGAAACTTTTAGGCTCCTCACCGCCCGAGCCCCTGGAGCTGTTGCCAGATGCCGCGGGAGGTTTAGGGCGCAGTCTCGTGCGTTTATTCAGAACTCTGCCTCCACACAATTAACTCGGGGTTTCCCCTGGATGTCCCAGCGGCTCGCAGCCTTAGAATTTCTCTTAAAGGAGAGGAGAGGAAAAGCCGAGCAAGGGATTCCGTGCGCGTTTGCTTGGAAATCAGGAGACCCGCGACGGTGGTCTCATTCCTAAACGGAGCCTAATCCGGAGTTAGGCGCGCCTAAACCCACCGAAACCCGCGCTGTTAAACGCGCCTAGCTCTGCATGGGAAGCACATCAGCCTTACTTGCGAGGAAGCCCTATGGGCGGATACTCGCCTGCACAGAACTATGCACAAACGCGGGCTTGCTGTTGCCAACTGCGAGCAAATATGCGCAGGAGCCTAGCCTCAAGGTCAGGCACTGGCGCTGCCCGGCGGCTCTAACCTTCCCCATTCACGCCTTCCCTCCCCCGGCCGAGCGTTCCATTGTCCCTCCCTAACCCTCTCCCAGCCCCCGTGGCGTCACAACGCCCCTTCTCGCCAGAGAAGCTCTTCCCATTTGTCTCCCGCCGCGATTGTTACGTCACAGTCAGCCCACAATTTAGCCGGAGATCGCGCCCCCTTCCTTCTTTCCCTCCTTGGCGGTGCCTGAGCGCCGAGGCTCGAACCCGCCCCTTTCCCCTCCCCGCCTCTGCAGCGTGACTGAGCCGGCTGGCTGCTGCTGCTTACCGCTATCTCTCCGCCCCCCTTCTGTTTTTTTATTTAATTTTTGGTTTTAATGCTGCCTCGGGATCTATCGCCACCTTAAAACTGCCTGCTGCTGAGTGCGCGCAAAAAAGGTAAGGGATCCGCGCTTGGCCAGCCTGGGCCTCCGCCGGCTGCGAGGTGGGTGGGGAAGCTGTTGCTTTTCCTGGGCGGATGCTCCCCACACTCCCATTGCCCTTGTAAGGGGAAAGAGAAGGAGAGAGAGAGAGAGGGCGCGGGCTCCCTTTCCTTTCCCGCGCGGCCGATCCTCTGCTCGCGGGCAGCATCGGGGACCGGGATCTCGCCCGCCCTCAGCCCAGGCAAGCAGCGACCGGTGCTTAGCTGGCAGCAGCAGACGGACGCCCTGGGCTTGCCGAGGGGGCGACTCCGACGTGCTGTCGGCTGGGGAGGATGGAGGGAGCTGGCTGGTGATTCTAGGCAGTGTTCGTGCAAATGGCAGTGCGCGAGGGGATGCGGGGCTGTTGCTGTTGCTATTATGTCCCCGCCGTCCATGCAACACACACACACACACACACACACACACACACACACACACGGGGGGGAGGAGAACCGGTTTAGGGCGGGGCCCCCGATGGCGGCTCCACGTGCATCCTCGCCTTTCGCTTCCCCGTTATTGCTGCGGGCGATCAGCGGAAGAGGCGGCTCCCGTCTCGAGTTTGAGAATGTTTGGGGCTCGCAGAACAACTCGCTGCTAGCCGGTTTCTGCCCAGCAGGGGCAGAGAGAGAGAGAGAGAGAGGGAGAGATCGGCAACAAGTGCTGAGAAAAGCTCCGCGTTTGTACAAACATCCTTCTGGCGGGGGAAGGAGGTGCTGGTGTGTGCCGGCTGTCACTTTGCAGCCCCGGTCCCGCGTCGTCGGAGAACGACGGACGGGGCGCGTGAGCAAGCAGGTCTCTTCCCCACCCCGTGCAGGAAAACTCTTGTGGATGCAGGTCGTTGTTCACGTGTGATGAGCGCGCTCATCTCGCCGCCTTGGGAAGCCGTTTCCGGCCACATGTACCCATGTCGAAATAGACGTGCACACTCTGCCTTGCGAGGGTCTAATTGCACAGAAACGAAATGCTTCCAGCGAATCTGTGGTCTATTCGTGCTGTGTAAAGTGTCCCAATACACCCAGCTAGCTTGTTCGACCCAGCTGAACTTGGCTGCCGGTGTGTTGCAAGCCCCCTGCCTTGCACTGCGCTGAGCAAAGTGATGCTGGTGCCCTTCTGTGATAAGCAATCTTGGCTAGAACGGAAGGGTTGCAATGGAAAGTTTGCTCCAGTTTGGCTTTCTGCTCAGGATTCCCCTTCGACACTTGGGAGGCTGTGTAGCCTAGTTATGTAGCCAAGTGGCTGATGTCCCCTGCCAACAGCAACCAGTGCATTCCCAAAGGCCCACTTCCTTACAGGAAAACAGTGTGTCCTTCCTCAGGAAGGAGAGACCAGCACTGAAACTCCCAGAGAAGAACATTCTTCCTGCTCTTAAGCATTTAATTGAGCTCTTCCTTCTAAAGCACCCCCCATGACTAGTAAGTCCAATGAATAATTATTTTTATTTTTATTAATTTTCCCTGGCAACCATCCCTGTTCCTAGGGGAGATTTGGATCCCTTCCATATGACCTGTTTATTGAGCATTGATTCTTATTTGTTTGCACAAAGTTGCAGGGAGGTGAAACAATGTTGGCAATTTATTCAGCATTCCTTCCCATTTGTTTGCGAGTATAAAAATTCCACTGAGCAATCACAAACCCGTGCATCTTCCCATCACTCTTATCACAAAACTGACCTCCCCCCACCTTTTCTTTTTTAGGAAGTTGATTTTGCTATGCAAATCCACTTTAATTATGCAACTTGAATTTGCTGGTACTGTATGTGATTGAATCCCATCTGGATATAGTGCAGTCCCATGCACTCCTCCCCTCCACGTAAGCCCCACTGAACACAGGGAGATTTGGTTCCATGTAAACATACATAGAGTTGCTTTGTTAAACTGTATGAAGGGCAGCCTTCTGCCTTGATGCTACATTTCGTACTTTGTTAGAAATTGGAGAACTTTCTAACTTCAGTTGGAGAACTTTCTGTGTTCAGTTTTTGTTGAGCTAGATGGGAAGCAACGTTCTTTGGGCAACAGGCTGCTTAAAAATGCTTCATTTGTTTTTGGCCCAGTGTTCAGGTGCACTACACCTAAATAATATAAACTAAGGCTGCTTATCTTATGCCTGCTTATCTTTGAGTGACTCCATTTGAACTCCAAAGGGACTTGCTGGTATGCACTGAAGGGTTGGGCAAGCCTCTTCTCTGCTTCAGTGGAAGGTGTAAAAAACCACACACACACAAAAACACTCCCGACTCACATAACATCATAGTCAATGGCTTTCAATCAAAGAGAATCCCTTCTTATCTCAAACAAGGGTGACTTAATTAGATGTAGAGTTTGGAAGCAAAGTTTATCTGTCCTCACAAAAGCAAATGGATGTGGTTGTTTTTATGGAACTCTTCAGTCCCACTTGATTGTGGTTCTGTGCCTTGGAAAAGGCAGGGGAAACTCCAGAGCAGCTGAAATAGGAGTTGCTTGTTTTTTTTCACTCTGGGGAATTATGCAAAGCAGCTTGGAATCTTTGACTAGACAAATGTGTTGGTGATGAAGCATCCCTAAGGCAGTGATTTTTTTTAATTATTTATTTTTTTTGGCAGGGGGTGGGAGGGAATGTGCACTTCTAACTTGAGAGTTTGATTAGATGTCGGATTTATAAACATTCATCAACTGCCTTTCCTTAGTGCCTAATCATGGTACGTATATTAAGATATTTAAAAATCCCCAGCGGTGCCTATCAAAACTCGGCATGTTCCTGTGTTAGCTGAGAAAGTGGATGGAACTGAGTTGAAAGTATGCTCTTGAAAACAAAAAGATTCTGTATTGCAGAGATCACCTTTTTGTTGACGTGGAAAGGCAACACCATTGCTTAGTCAGCAAGGAGGTTTGATCTTCAGACACAAAATCCTGCCTTCCCAGGGCAAAAATATGCTGACTACAAAGCACTCAGCTGCACCCGGAAGAAAAGAAACAGCAAGGTCTTGCCTGGCAGGCTGATCCTATGGTCCTTCTACACAAGGCCTAACATTAATGTAACCTTGTTGCTGCTGGTAGAAATCGCAAGAATAGCCATAGCAGTGAGCCAAGGTAGCAGTAGCAACAGACACATCACAGTGGCTGACAGTTCTGAAGCCACCCATCAATCAATGATCTTGCACATGGGCGACTTGATTTGAAGACACCAGTCAGCACATTGGGGTGGCATGAACTCTGTGATGAGGTCACCCGATCCTTATGGATCAGTTGAAAACTGCTGCGATCCTGGTATTTTAATACGCTTTTATTATTGTCCTACAAATCAAAGCATACACATAACTCTTACATTAATAACTCCTGTTGTTGTCTTCTTTCTGTCCCAAGAGGCAATGGAGTGTGCCTCTGGGGGGTGAAGTCAAACCTCTGCATTAACAGCCCTGAAGTGACCTCTCCAGGGTGCAAGCCTAGGCAGTGTGTATGGAGGTCCTGGGTTGCCCAGGCAGCAAGACTCCCCTCTTGGCCCCACTGACATGGTCCGAAGGAAAGTAGAGCAACAAGTTTGGCACTGGCTTGGCTGCAGGAGTTGTCGGAAGGAAACATACAAGGTACCATCCAACCATCTTAGGGACTTGAGTCTGGATTTGTGTGTAGGGTTTACTCCTTAGTCTTTTCTTCTCCTGAAGATATCCCTCAAAGCAGCAGAGGTTTAGGACCAGTTTTCCTTCTCCTTAAATGGGCTACCTTCCCAAGTTGACCTCCATCTGCCCCATAATCTCTGTAACAATATCTATTTATATCTTAATAACTGTAGCCTTGCCTTTAACTGGTACATTTTTTCTAGAGGCACTGTATTAGGAAAATGATTGGCCCTAGGTTAGGGGTCTGGCTAGCCTGTTTTGATAATCTGGCCCTGGCTTAAACAGCCTCCATCTCCATTGTCAGTGGGGTCGGGGCAGAAAAGTCAAACGCAGGGTACAGATATTCTCAACCGTCCTGCAGTCTTTCCCCAGGCCCCGCACATGGAAGGAATGAACTCTCAGTAGGCAATGGACCACAGTTGGAGAACTTCTGCTATAGCACCTTCCTTCTAAGGGGAATCTGTCACCTTTCTCTGTTACAGTGGTACCTCGCAAGACGAATGCCTCGCAAGATGGAAAACTCGCAAAACGAAAGGGTTTTTGGTTTTTTTAGTTGCTTCGCAAGACGATTTTCCCTATGGGCTTGCTTTGCAAGACGGAAACGTCTTGCAAGTTTGTTTCCTTTTTCTTAAAACCGTTAATACAGTTGCGACTTGACTTCGAGGAGCAACTCATAGCACGCGGTGTGGTAGCCTTTTTTGAGGTTTTTGAAGACTTTGGTGATTTTTGAAGCTTTTCCAAAACTTTTCCGACACCGTGATTCGCAAGACGGAAAAAACCGCAAGACAAAAAAACTCGTGGAACGAATTAATTTCGTCTTGTGAGGCACCACTGTATTCCTTTTTGGGAAGGTACAGGAGCTCAGGAAGAAGTGGGCAGTTGTATCTGGTTTCTCACTGGTAGCAGTCGCTGTACTGCACAAACTTGAGCTTTGCATGGCACTACAAGGAGTTAGGGGAGAGACATGTTTGCCTGCATGAAAGAATGGGATGCCTGTTTGTCTGTGGGCGGGGATGGGGAGATAAGAGTAGCATCAGTAGACATTAGCTATAGGTAAGACAGTCCTGTAAGGCTGGCAACAGCATATTTGCTACCATGTCAGTGCCTACAGTATTTATTCTGCGCATCTACTATGCTCATCTGGAACGGGGTGGGGGGTATCTCTGGTTAATATGGCCAAGGCTGTTTTGGACTGGACTGGAAGGATGCTTCTTAGAACATTGCAACGCTTTGGAGTGAAGACGACCCTTTTCGAGACACAGCATTGGACAAGTGTGTGCACTAATCTGAGTGATTTGTTTTGCCTTTCCTTCTGTTTGTCTTTGGGGTTGGGGGGGTGTCCCTATTAAGTGTTATAAAACACGCCTGCACTTTTCTGCCAGTGCACACAACAAACCTGGCCTTCCTGTGCATGCTGCAGGAATAGTTGCCATATTTGCATTACTGTTGCAAATAAATATTCCTCTTGTGATGCGTGCTGGTTCCCAACCTTCCTTAGTCTTATTCCCAGGGCTTTTCAATCAGAGGCTGCTTAACTGTTGTCAATGTATCTTCTACAGTGCTGTGTTGCTGTCGCTGCTGCTCGCAGTGAGCCTCCCATGGGAGCTTTGAGTTATTGTGAAGGGCACAGAGTTTGTTCGAATTTCTATCCCACCTCTCTTCCAAGGAGCTCAAGGAGGCAAACGTGCTCTCCCGCCATCCGCACAACAACCCTTTGAGGTTGGTTAAACTGAGAGGCAGTGACTGCGGCAAAGTCGGTGAGCCTTATCATGTCTGAGCCTCATCATGGTTGCTATCAGGGGCTGCAACTTCCAGGCAGCATAACCAAGGGTGAAGAGATTTCTCCACCCTGATTGGCCCTCACACCTGCCAGTAGCTCCTCACTAAGATTCACAAAGCAGCTTTGCCATGTTTTGAATTTCTCATGGGAGGAGAAGGACCATCTCACACTACAACCTTGCCCTCCAAAATGGCTTAAATAAAAAATTGGAGAGAGTTTTCAAACTAGCTGTTCATAGAGCATTCATCCTGGTATGTTTGCATGGAGAGTATATGTATGTGTGTGACATATATACAGGGGTGTGTGTGTGTTTATAGGGATGTGGGTGGCACTGTGGTCTAAATTACTGAGCCTCTTGGGCTTGCCAATCGGAAGGTCAGCAGTTCGAATCCGTACGACAGTGAGCTCCAGTTGCTCTGTCCCAGCTTCTGCCAACCTAGCAGTTTGAAAGCATACCAGTGCAAGTACAGTGGTACCTTGGTTTACAACCATAATCCGTTCCGGAGGTCCAGTTGTAAACCAAAACAGGTTGTAACCCAAGGTGCGCTTTTGCCAATGGGGCCTCCCTCCCAAAATTGGTTGTAATCCCCAAAAAGGGGGGGTATAATCCAAAAAAAGGGACACGCACTTCCAGGTTTGACGTGGTTGTAATCCAAAACGGTTGTAATCCAAAGTGGTTGCAAACCAAGGTACCACTGTAGATAAATAGGTACTGCTGTGGTGGGAAGGTAAATGGCGTTTCTGTGTGCTCTGGCTTCCATCACAGGGTTCTGGTGTGCCAGAAGTGGTTTAGTCATGCTGGCCACATAACCCGGAAAGCTATCTGTGGACAAACTCTGGCTCCCTCAGCCTGCAGAGCGAGATGAGCGCGGCAACCTCATAGTTGCCTTTGACTGGACTTAGCTGTCCAGGGGTCCTTTAACTTTTACCTTAACTTCACACACACAATAGTGCTAGCTAGACTCTTACTGTGCACTTTTATGTGCAATTTTTTGTTGCTTATTGATCTTATTGTGGCCAAGGGCCAGCTGAAGGTCTGTATTCTGCCCCCAGGCCTGAGGTACCCCACCACCACCCCACTCCTTGGAGTGCTTCTACACAGAAATCTTCAAGTGGCTATTTTTGTTGTTGATTTTTTAAAACATGAATCTAACACCTATAATCTCCAAAGCGTTTGTGTGCATTACAGGCACCTATAAACTTCAGCACAAAAAGAACAGAACTTTAGAAGAGGCAATTTAAGCCCTTATTGATCCTCAAGCAGAACAGGAAGTAAACAAGAGGCAATTGTACTACAAATGGGCATTCTGGCCAATGTGGGCTTTTAAGTTCCCATTACACACCCCAAAGCCTCGCATGTTAAGGTTCCTGGCACCATTTTGGAAATGGCCCTTAGAGTCACTGCAGGACTGCAGGAGGGATACCGAGCGAAGGGAGAACTAACCTCCTCTCCCTTCCAGCTGCTAGGGATGCAGGAAGCTGGCAATAGCAATAATGCCTCAGGGAGCTGATATTGCTCCCTGTTTTTGTTTTGCTTTTTTTTTTAAAAAAATAGCAATACTTAAAAATGGTCTAGTGCTGAGGGCAAGATGCAAATATGTTTTAAAATCTACATCAGCAACAGAATTGTGTTTCATAGTTCTGAAAGTGCGAGAGGGAAGCAGAAGCAAAAGGCAGGAAATGGGAGGGAGGAAAGGAAGTGGAAGCCTTAATTGGTGTTAAATGGTTGCCAGAGAAGCAACAGACTTAAGTGGGGTTATTTTTGTTTTTTATAGCAGGCTTACGTTTACTACCTTTTCAGGAGGTTCTTGGAGAACTTGATGCCTGAGGCAGGAAATCCAAATGCTTTTTTTTTTTGCATATTAGTAAAAATATAATGGCCAGTTTGCTGCCTTTTTACATGGAACCCCACAGGGTAATCTTCTTCAGATGGGCTGCCTTCCCTGGAAGCTGCTTCTGGTGTAAAGGCAGCAGCTCAAGCAGCTCAGTAGGGCAGACGAGTGCCGTCATGTTACGCCACTTATGAAAGAATTGCAGTGCTTGCCAATAAGCTGCCAGGCGAAGGCAGTGGCACCAGATACCTGAAAGGTTGTCTCACTCCTTGTATACCCAACGGATCACTCTGCTCTGCTCCATCCTGCAGAGTCCACACCACTAGATTTGCAGGAGGCCCTGCGACATAGGCACTGGGCCTTTGGTGTGGTGGCCCCTTCGCCACGGAACTCCCTGCTATTACATATCTAGTAGGCACCATCTCCATTGTTTGTTTCTGGTGCCTAATTGAATACCTTTCTTTTTCAACCAGCCTTTTGAGGGAATTTTTTTTTTATCCCAGTCTCTACCCGATTTGGATTTGAAATTGTTTTCGTAGTTTCCGGTCATAGAAACATAGACTTGGGAGGGTCCCGGTGGATCATCTAGTCCAAACCTCTGTGATTCAAGAATATGCAGCTGTCCCTTACAGGGATCGAACCTGCAACCTTGGCGTTATTTTGTCAGCACCACATTAAATCATTTCGTAGGATGTGGTTCGGAAATGAAAGGGAAGATAGAGAGAAGGTCCCCGGGGCTTTTGCTTAAAGTGGAGAGACTCTTCTTCCTTGAGGACGGTGATGGGTGATCTTCCCTTTGCTTGGGAATATTGGGTGAACAAAGAGCTAAAAACCTACCTTTCCTGGCTGGAATCTGTTGGATGCTTGGGATCTTTTTGCTGAGAGCTCTTGGAGGAAGTCGGGAAGCTTCTCTCTCCTAGTTTTATAATGTTGGTGCATACATGCTGATGGCGTCGTGTGCAAATGCCGTAACAGATTGCTCCCTTGGAATTGTGGTCTTTTTCCAAACACAAAATGCCTTTGCCAAGCACACAAGGCTCCTGGGAGCACGAAAGGGTTTTAGGTCTTGATGGGGCAGGGCAAGAAGCAATTGCACTAATTGATTCAATTCAAGATGCTCTCCAAACGACAGGAGACAAGCATCCTGGTTGTGGCTTCGAGTAATGTTTGACCCCGGAGTAAAGGATTAATATGATAGAATTCTTACTCCTCCTAACCAGTTTTGAAGCATGAAGAATCATTATGTTGTCAGCCAGAACTGAACGTTGGTGGGGATTATACTCTCTTTAGAAGACATCCAACCATTACCGTATTTTTCGCTCTATAAGATGCACCAGACCATAAGACGCACCTAGTTTTTGGAGGAGGAAAACAAGAAGAAAAAAATTCTGAATCCCAGAAGCCAGAACAGCAAGAGGGATTGCTGCACAGCGAAAGCAATGATCCCTCTTGCTGTTCTGGCTTCTGGGATAGCTGTGCAGCCTGCATTCGCTCCATAAGACGCACACACATTTCTCCTTACTTTTTAGGAGGGAAAAAGTGTGTCTTATAGAGCGAAAAATAAGGTATGTGCTGGACAAACTTGTACTGTGAACCAAGTAATTTTAAAGTGCATTAGGAACAAGAGAGGATGATTCCATGAATTTTTATTTGATCAGTTAATTTAGGCAGGGAAATCTAAGCCTTTCCTCGGAACTGGTCTTTCAGCTTGGGGGAAGTTTATTGCAACGATACTACTAGTATTTCTAAGCCCGTTAAAAAAGAGGCTCAACCTTCTCTCTCTCGCTCGCTTTTGCCCTTCCTTGCAGCTGCCCGTGGTGTGGTTTCTTTACACTAGTCTTTCCGTTAGCATTCCCCACTTTGATCCAGCTTGTGCTACTGGTGGGAGGGAGCTCTCATGCAGAACAACTTTTGGTTTTCTGGTAAGCTGTCAAGCAGCTGTTACAGGAAAGGATAGGTGTAAGTTGATCAGGGAGAAGTGTTCTGATGACATCACACAAGATGGTTGCCTTTTCTTGACAGGAAACCACTGTGTAGACCACAAAGCAGCCGCCCTGCATTACTTTCTTGCCTCCACCCCCCCACCCCGCCCAATCATCTGCTTAAAAATAAGCTGTGGATGTTTTCCCTCCTTAATTGTGCCTCTGTAATGCAAGCCTTGCGTTTGTGTTTCCATGTTTTTATTCTTTTTAAAAGCCACCCAGTTGCAAGTACTGGAGGCCTGGGAATTTGCATACCTCATCTAAACCAGAATAATAGCTACGGCCGAAAAATAATAAGCCCACTCTGCTCCATGCCTGTTGTGGAGTAACACTGTAAGACAAACCCCTAACCGTAATTAATTCTACTTGTTGGAATGCAAGCAGGGTTTTCTTAACCTTTCCCCCCTGTTTTTGGAGATTAAAATAAGACTAGAATAACTAGAGAATTTTGTAACGGACCTTGGACACTGTCTTTTCTGAACTCTGTGCTCTGGAGCAAATAAATAAGGCTTGATTTACTTTTGCATTCATCTTCATTCTTACTTGTGTCTGTGAGAAACCTTGGCTGTCCTTTAATATATCTCAGCTAAGCAATTAAGAGCCTCACCTGCTGCCAGACAGACTTTGCCCCATGAGACTGCAGTAGGTTGGGGTCGAAAATGAGAATGGATCCTTTTATTAAAATGTGGGCCGAGAGAGTTCTAGTGTAGCCTTCTCTGACATGCTAATTTCCATTTGTTTGGTTTTGGCACAAGGCAGTGGTGGAGGAAGCCGCTCGGGTGCCTGGGACAGCACACTGAGGGGCGGGGCCTCCAGAGTCTGCCTGCCTCCTCCCACTCAGTCGCCCTACAACTGAGGGAGAGATGGCGGGTGGACCGTTTGGGGCAACGCGGAGCCTGCGGGCACCCAAGGCACTGTGGCACTCCCAGGAGAGACGCATCGCTTGGGCGCGCTGCAGGCCCCGTGGTGAGTGCCACCCAGCGTTTAGTCACCCCCCTCAGTGGTGGAACCGGGGTGGTCCGCACCCACCGCACCTATCTTCCTCCACTACTGGCACAAGGGAGCATTGCAACCCTTAAATCTTTGCACTGACAATTGGTGTCGTCCAGTACTAGAGGTATCACTTGACGTTGCTGATCACATGCTTCTCCTGTCTGCTGTGGATGTGTATTCACTGGACTGCTTGGGCCAGCGGAAAGATGCACTTTGGCCAGAGAGATTTCTAGTTCACTTCCATCATCAATCCACAGAAATGGCTAGACTTCAGACTCTTGTGTCTTCTTCAGATGACCTTTTTACTGAGCATTTATCCTGATTCACTGGCATAAAGCTTACCCCGATCTTATATGAGGATCGTTGAGTTGTTAGCTGGGAGGTTATATATAGCATTCATCCTGATTACTTTTTGCAGCTATACCTCCTATCAAGAAGTCATTGTCCCACACTTTTTAGTGCATTTCCCTGCAATTTCTCTTAACTACAAAAAGTTATACCAAAAAGTGGATTTGCTGCAACAAAGCGCTTCAATCCACTTCAATTGCACAAACATGAATTTATGGTATGCGGTGGTCACTGTTTTGGAGAAGGGACTCAATCTGGAGGTATCTATGTATTTATTTTACTAACCCTATATAATCCTTGTTATACAACTCAGATTGTTTTCCTCCTCTGTAAAACAAATTCAGTCTTGACCTCCCTTGGGAAGTGGAGGCAGTGAAATGCTTTGTGTGCTAAAGGTCATGACAAATCGTGGACCTTTCTGCTAACAGCATCCCAAAGGTTAGGGCACCTTGATAGCTACCTTCATTGCAAGCTAAATTTGTGGCTTGTAGCCATATTTGTTTAGAAATCTTCTCCATACATTTTCTGTGGTCCATGCTCACATCCAGCTCAATCCACAAAGAACTGCCAGTATGGTGGGTGATTTGTTGTGAGTGTTCATACCAGTGAGACTCTTGCAACACTACTTCGTAAAACTTTACCTCTCCTTTGTTCTCCATTACCTGTGTAAGAATAAAAGATAGTCACTTCCGGGTTAGCGCCATCGCCGAATGGCGGACTCCCTCCGAGCTCCGGAGGGGGTCTGCTCGGCAGGGGCTGGGTCCTACCGCGCCGGCGACGCGGGGACCCTTAAAAACCACGGGCACGGAGTCCGTGGACATGGGTGACTCGGCTTGCACCATTAGCGCCCTCCCGACTCGTGAAGGAGCCTTTTTAAAGGCTTCGGATCGGAGTGCCGGGAGTGGCGTGGTGCTTGAGTCCACTGCTTTCCCTGCCGAGCGCAGCCGCATGCCATTCGACGGAGAGCGCTGACTTCTTCTATTGAAAATTTGGACTATTAACAACAACCCGTGAGTAATTGGGAAACCGGGTTCAAAATTTTGGATTTGGCACGAGCGGGGCGATTTAAAAGGAAGTCAATCCCCCCCCCCTATTGTAAGCATTCCAAAACAAGGACTGGGTAACCAAGGTCCAAAGGGAAGTATGTCTCTGATAAAAATCATTAATTTCACGATGGGAAATTATAAGAAATGTGCTGGAGGAGAAGAGTGGAGGGTGAGAAGAAAAATGCAACCCCCCCCCTGGGAACCGGGGCGATTCGTGGATCCTGGTGAAGAGAGACGGAGGCTTTGACAGCTGTCAAAGTGGCTGTCAAAGCTGGAGAATATAAAGAGGACTTTGTTATGAGGACCTTGCTGGTTAATTTTGTTACAATTTGCTATAATATGGATATAAACTGTTGGAAAATAAGCAACAATTTGACTTTTGGATTAGAGGATACAAAGTTATTACAATCCCCCTAGAGGGGTTTCGGGATACTACAAGAACGGTCGTAAGTGGAAAAATACCCTGGGATTCGCACAGGATGTGTTATCTTCTGGGAAAGCTGCAAAACTGAAAGAGTATTTTGTCTACAGAGGAAGACAATGGAATTTTTTATTGAAGAAAGGAAGGGACTGGACGTAAGTGTTTGTTCCTGAATAACAAACCTCTGCAGAGACACTAGATTTCTGAATTAGAAAGTTTTAGCAGCTGAACAGGACAAGAAACCTGAGAAAGTGAGGAATAAGAAGAATAAAGGACTGATTACGACACGGAAAGAACAACGGGAGGAGTGGTAAAGATCAAGGAAATTAAAGGCCTTTGTTAGATTGGACATTTGAAGTCAAATATTATTTAAATTAATAAACTAAAAGAAAACCGGCAAGATGGAATCGGGAGAAATCTGGTCATGAAATGAGACTTCCAAGCTGATAATGTATAGACTGATGGACATGGGGAATTCAAACCGGGGAAGGGGGAGATTTGAAATCCAAAGGCTGTGTAACCATTTTTTGAATTTTTCTATATCTCTTATTTTCTATTTCTTTACATAACTTACGCATGTTATTTTACTTTGATCGGACGTGTTTAAAAAAGGGAATTTGTGGAAGGAACTGGGGTGGATCTTGGGGAAAATCTTTTTCTTTTTCTGTTAATGATGTGGGACGGTGGTAAGATTTGTACAATTCAATCTGGATAGTGGGTTAAACAAATTAAGCTTTAAATTGGGAGTGAGAGCTTGTAGAACCAAATTAAGGAAAGGGAATACAATTGGGGGAGGGGGAGTCCCAGAAAGTAGGGAATGAAAGTAAGGTTTTTAAATATCTTCTTTCTTTTGTTTTTTTTCTTTGTATTTTTATATTTTTGGAAACTTTAATAAATATGATTTAAAAAAAAAAAAAAAAGAATAAAAGATAGTGTCTTGAAATCCAGTCCAACAGACAGAGTTAATCTACAGTCTTAGCTAGCAGTGCTGTGAATAATGGGAATAAAACTTTGCCTTTTTAATCTGGTTCTTACTGATTTCTCTGCTTCCCGTTACTGGTCTGCTGCGTTAAGTGCAGGGGGACATCAAAATAGTCTCTTCTATAATTATCTGCAAAATCTATACTTTAGTCCCAGAGTTACTCTGTAAAGCAGTGAGCTGACGTAAGTTTAAAGGAGCTGAAAATCTTAAACATGGATGAGAGTGTGGCAAGTAGGGATGGATGAATCTGCCCATTTCAGTTCCTTGCAGTTTCTAATTTTTCCAAACTTTCTCCACATTTCCACACCTGTTTGTACTCACCAGTGTGCGCAATTTGGCCTAATTAACCCCATTTTTGCAAAGCAATTTCCTTCAACATAATGCATTTTTCTATGTTGATTTCTTGAATATATGCATTTTACTCTAGTATGTTTGTTTATGTCCGCATCAATTGATTGGAGAACTACCCAGCAAAATTCAGAGATGTGCGAATTTTAAAGGATGACTGTGTTTCAGTTCATGTTTTGTTTTGGAGAAGTGTGATTTGAGGTCTTTCCCCACGTAACTATGTAAAGTGGTATAGTTGCTGGGGGGGGTTGATGGGGAGGGGGCATTCTGACACATGGCATCCTCATTATTTAGCTAAAATTCCACAATAATGTACTTGGGGGAAACGGCTTTCCCCTCCCTTCTGCCGTGAAAAACTTGGCATTTGTGAAAGATCCAGAATGGACCCACAATGTTTCCATTTGCGTGGCATGTGTACAAGCACCATCCTGTGTGGAGGTAGGGTGGGGTTGGCGCATGTGGTTTGAGGCATCTGTTTTGCACCACTTCCTTTGGAGAGATGCAAGCTGTCAGTTTGTGAGCTCAGTTCGGAAGAGAGAGATGGCAGGTAGAGGCAATGGTGCCAGTGACAGCAGTCATTAGCTGCAGACAAAATTTAATCACACTAACCAGGTTTTCCCAGAGCTCAGGCAGATACACAATTCCTCTTCCAATCTCCTGTTCTCTGACAGTATTAGTATTCTGGAATATGAGGCATTAAACACCCCCACCTCCCCCCCCCAAAAAAATTCTGTTCCCCCCAGTGCATGTGAATAACTCTGACATTTACTTGCTGGAGGAACACAAAGATATTTAAGGAACATGGAACGTTTCTCAATTTGGGCACAAGCTGCCATTTGTTCAGAAAGGAAAACCCCAACCGGTCATCAGAAAAGTTGTGCAGGCAGAGCAAAAGTTTTGGTACCCAGATAGGACGGATGAAGCATTAAAACTGGAAAACTCGTGGGTTGGTTGTTTCTCAGTTTATAAAGAACTGCCTCTTTGTGCCCCTTCTACCAGGGAAATGTCCTCCATCAGCTGGTTAGCATCAGCTCTGCCCACACTACACAGATACAGCCCTGCTCAGCAGTTTGTGCTTCCTGGCACTAAACCCAGCCTACATTGTGAGGGAGGGTTTGCTTTATTTTTCAAATGTGAGAGGGAGGAATCTCCTCACCCACATCATGGTCACTATTCTCTCTTGGCTATAGTAAAATCTATATTCTATTTGTGGTTGTATCAACCCATAGTTACCTTTTCCCCAGAAACTCAGAATTTGTCTAGCCTCTGTATTTAACTTCCCTCTCTCAGAATGACCGTAGTCTTGCTTCTTCTTTAATGGCCGGTGAGTCACTTTGTCATTGTAGTTAAACGCTGGTAGTTCTTCTGCTTCCACCAGCCCTAACTCCAAGGCTGAATCCTGAATTTCCAAACTTGGCATGTTTAGAATGTGAGCTTCCTCAATAAGTAGCTGAGTATATAACAAACGTATACCTGGCACACATTTTCAAGAGAAATTAGCCCTGATTTATGTTGTTTTAAAGACTGTGGGTATATAGACTCTCTATAAATTGACCTGTGAGTGGACTGCTTAGTCAAGAGGATAATGGGAAAATCCGTGTTGGAATGTAGTCTTCTTGCTCTCTTAATCGTTTTAATGATCTTGCTGTCTTTATAAATATCGGCATCAACAGTGCATGTAAAATTATTTCTCATTAGAAGTGAGGAATGAACATGAAGCATTTATTTATTATCGAAGGCATTGCTGCTTCGCCCATCAAATCCTAGAGTCTCCTGCAATAACAGATTGAAATACAACATGGGTGCACAGGCTGGCGATATCCTGGCTGTTTTTACTTCAGAATAAATATGGATGTGAACTATCCAGACAAATGATGCCAAGTTGATGGTGCTGAGCATGAGCAATCTTGAGATTTTCTTACCTCATTCCCCCACTTATCTGTGGAACCCTTGTATCCTGGCTGAAGTAGCTGTATGATGCAAAGGATTTTGAGACATCATAGAGCAGTGGTTTTCATGCTTTCTTTGGGGGGACCTCCTTTTACCTGAACCACGTCTGCTTAATAAGCGAAGAGATGAACAAGCCTTTTGCTCACACACATACACAGCCCCTTTGTTCCGCCATCCATGTGGGTTGCAGTTAAACTAGGATTCATTTACCGTAGTTTCCTAGTTCATCTGAACTAGGGAGCTATGGTTGCCAGCTTTGGAAGAAGCCAGGGTATTTATCCCTGGTTTGAAGTTTGTTTAATAGTCTGGCTTATTATGAAGCTGGTAACCATAGTTTCCTGATTTCACAAGAAATGGGAAACTGGTTAATTGGTGGCTTCCTGTTTTAATTGTGTGAAGGCAAGAACAAAGGGCTTCATGTGTTGTGGAATGAGCCCTTCGTATCTTGCCTTATTAAGTCAAGACATAATTGTCCAAACTGACTCATTAAGTCATCTGCCAATAAACTCCAGGTTGTGCTCTACTGAAAGCCCACTGGCGGAGCTATGGAAACAAATAATGTCCGCCACTGCGTTGCAGATAATTTTGGTGTGTATTGTAGGGCACACAATCCAATTGGGGTGAGGCAGTTTAGAACACACTCAACTACGGTACTTTCATATGCCCACACATTGCAGGGGAAGACAAATAACGTCGAAAAGCTTCCCTGGAGAAAAGCTTGTCTGTCATTCCTGATCTCCTGATTGCGGTCTAGAAACAACTGCAATTGGGTCTTGCTCTCCTGCTGCCCAAATAGAGAATGTATCCAATGTTTTCTTCCCTTCCTGCATATTGCACAGAAAGATTGTAACGATGGACAAAGCTGTTCTCTTCTAGCAGTTTGTTAGCTATTTGTTCGCTGGAATTGCCTTCACTCAGCCCCCCCTTTCCCCCTTTCCCCCTTTCCTGTTCTGTATGGGCAAAGCTAGACTTGTCACAATTCATGCAACCAACAAGTGTACCAGTGGATTGGGGTTTTAAAAAATACAGTGGTACCTCGGGTTAAGTACTTAATTCTTTCTGGAGGTCTGTTCTTAACCTGAAACTGTTCTTAACCTGAAGCACCACTTTAGCTAATGGGGCCTCCTGCTGCCGCCAGAGTATGATTTCTGTCCTCGTCCTGAAGCAAAGTTCTTAACCCGAGGTACTATTTCTGGATTAGCGGAGTCTGTAACCTGAAGCGTATGTAACCTGAGGTACCACTGTAGTAAATAGCAGATAAGGGTCACCTATCTGGATCAGGGTCAGAGCAGGAATCAAAGGTTTAAAGACCCCCCCCCAAAAAAAAATCTATCATCATGGTCCTGATCCAATAGCTTCTCCATCAACTGCTCTTTTCTATATAAAAGGAGGATTTACACACTTGCTAATTGTGTGAAGGGAGCTATGACTAGTGTGGCTTTTGTGAACATGCATTTGTCAAGTTCAGCTCTTGGAGAAAGACACAGGAAAGTCTAGTACTGCTAGATACCATTTTGGAGGAAAGAGTCAAGCAACCCAGTCCCATCCTGGACCAAAGTTTGCCTTCCTTTCTTCCTCCATAGCAGATTTTGCTGAATGGGCATCTCTGCAAATAAGAGCCAAAGGTTTTTGATGGCTGTTCCCCTCCCTCTCTCCTCCCCCCCCTTTTTAATCGGATTACAGTAACTGGCCACCCACATTAATCTTAGATTGTTCATTTATGTTTAATCTTGTTTACTAGAGCAGAGACCCTCTGTTGACCTTTGCACTCAATTTACTTAATATGAGCAGCAGACTTGGGAACCCTTGAATTTTCACTTCCATGTCTGATATGAGTGTCCTCATTCCTTTGGCCCAGTATTAAATATTTGTGCCACTAACTGATTTTTGATAAATCCTCACAGAGGTTTGCAAAAGATAAAAATACTAATGAAGTAAAAAAAACCAAAGATCCGGAGTGGTAAAAGAGGAAAAGCAAAGCAACAGAATTTACCTTTGAACGGGATCGAAGAGACCTGACTAACAATCATGGGTTTAGCATGGTGTCAGAAAAATGTGAGTTGGCTTCAGAGGAGCCTTCCTGGGGAAGGAATATGAGAGGCAAGTAAAAGACCTCTACCTGGGAGGTCTTCTGCCTAACCTCTGAGAACAGGGCACTGGGGCAATGGCCTCCAAAGTTAATCCTGGCACATGGCCAGTTTGGTTTGGGTGACAGACTGCAATCCTTCAGGTATCGCAAGTCCCAAATTGTAAAAGGTCTTTAAAGGTACACATCAGCACTATTGACTTGGGGTGGGAATTGGTCATCTGTGGATGTTTATTTAGGACTGGAGAATGGTGTTCATATCAGCTGTTCCAAGTTAGTTCCAAACACATCTGCAATGTATATTGCAGTCTCCAAAGGCAGGCCTGAGTAGACCGCTTTGCAGTATGCTAAAAACTGGTGTGCACCTGTGGATTGTTTTGTTCCACATTTTTACTTCAGTGCCACTTGGGATACTTTTTGGCATATGCTACTGTGAAGTTTTAACAGCCGCATATGTGTCTTCTCACAGTTGTTAGATGTGTAGTGACTTTAAACAAGGGTGCAATATTGCTCATGTTCATAGCACAAACATATCCCTTCCTGCTTTGCAGTTATGCAGTTCTCTTACTCAGTTTTCACTATGTATTTTACTTCAGAGTATCTTGTTGGAAATCCAGAGAACTAATCTATAGTCTTAAGGATGTAGTCATACCTCAGGTTACAGACGCTTCAGGTTGTGTTTTTTTGGGTTACGGACCCACCGAAACCCGGAAGTACCGAAACAGGTTACTTGCCCATGCGCAGACGCACCACTGCAGGTTGCGAACGCTGCGGGTTGTGAACGTGCATTCCGCACGGATCGCGTTCACAACCCGAGCGTCCACTGTAGTGCCTTACCTGTAAATAGCAGTTGGCTATTCCACTGGGTAGTTCTGGGATTCTCAAAGCACATCAAATGCTGATCATGTAATAAGTAATATATTTGAGCTTTGCATGAACTGCAGAGTATTCTGGGTGGCACTGTGACACATGACAGTTCAGTCAAGTTGGCTGTATGGTCAGCTGAAGCACACATTCTTTTTCCTCAGAGGAAAAGCATATTATTGATATTTCAGTTAACGTGGACTGGCCCTGAGCTCATTGCCTTTAATTTCTTGCTTTTGAACATCCCATTGCTCTTCATTAAAACTGCCCCATGCCCATTAGATGGAGACTCTCAAACACCTTTTCATGATAGAATTCAGGCTTGCACTTATTACAATTCAGAATTCAGTTTCGCACTTATTACAGATTGAAATTGGGTATCTGTTTTTATTATTTATTGGCATTCCCAGGTTCTCTCAATAGAAGTTCCAGAGGTGTCCTGTGTGAGTGGGAAGGCACTTCTGCAAGGAAGCCTCATCAAATTCTTCCCATTTCCCTTCCCAGTTGCAACTCCCTTTGCCCCACCCCACCCCGTTCCAGAGGGTCCTCAAGTCTCTGTAGTGGCTTTGGTGGGGGGCAAAGGAGACTATAGTGTTGCCGATAGAGAACCAGGAAAACTCTTCTGCATGAGCTGAGTTGTACCAGCTGTTCTCTGGATCTAGCCCATGACCATTGTATTCATTGTAATAGAATCATAGAATTGTAGGTTTGGAAGGGATCACAAGGGTTGTCTCATCCAAACCCCTGTGATGCAGGAATCTTTTGCCCAGTGTGGGGCTTGAACCCACAACCCTGAGATTAAGAGTCTCATGCTTCTTCCCAGCAGCCAAGCAAATTGGGTCTTCCAGCTGCCATCCCAATCACAGCTACTAGCCATACCTGTGCTGGCCTAGCTGGAGAAATGGAACCATCTCTCTTTTCTTTCAATAATAATAATATTTTTTTATTTATACCCCGCCCTCCCCGGCCAAGACCGGGCTCAGGGCGGCTAACATCAGGTATAAAAACAATTGATTAAAATACAACTTAAAAACAGGATTAAAGTACAACTTAAAATGCAGCCTCATTTCAATGGAAGCCCAGATCAAAACTGTTTGGGGGGAGAAAACGTCAAATCTACACCAAGGCCAACTATCCAGACTGGTCCTACGTGGGCCAGAAAAAAGCCAGGGAAGTCCCCAGATAGGGGTTCCATCACAGAAGGAAAAGGAAAGAAGGGCATGGGATCAGGCTGGTTCCAAGCCAAAGGCCAGGTGGAACAACTCTGTCTTACAGGCCCTGTGGAAAGAAATCAGATCCCACAGGGCCCTGGTCTCATAAGACAGAGCGTTCCACCAGGCCAGAGCCAGTGTTGAAAAGGCCCTGGCCCTGGTTGAGGCTAATCTGACTTCCTTAGGGCCTGGGACCTCTAGAGTGTTGCTATTTATGGACTTTAAGGTCCTCCGCGGGGCATACCGGGAGAGGCGGTCCCATAGGTACGAGGGTCCTTTGGTGACAGTTACTCACTGAAGAACAAGTAACACCGCAAGCCCAAGTGTTAACACGAAGGACAAATTTGGTGAAATTAAGCAGAGCTGATTTTTGCCTTGAATTATTCAAGGAAGGCAGAGCTGGGTGGCACAATTCTTCTTTCCTTTTGCTTACGGGAACACTGCATTTCCACTTGCTCAGACGCAGTGGCCTCTTGATCGCGCCTGTCAAGTGTGTTTCTCCTGTTGTGCTTCCCTCTAACCAGGCTTCATTTCTGTAGGCATGCTGAAACGTTTATTTCTTATGACAGACGCTACTTCAATGTTGTCGCCTCCTCCTCCTCCTCCTTAAAAATGAGTTTAAAGCCTGGAAATTTAAGAAAACGGTACCCTTGGGCAAGCAATCTTAGTTTTCCTGTTAATAGTTATTTTTTGTGCCATGATGCTTTCAAGCATAGTTCCACACAAATGTGGGCTTCATCCTGCACTGCCGCTGTCTTCAGAAGAAGCGCTTTGGGGGTGGTTGATAAACCACCTTGTTTGCTGACCTTGAGCAAGGGTAGTAATGGAATGGGTAGCATTGTCTTCTTCCCTATTTTTTTGACAGGGAATGGGAAAACTTTAACATATGAGAGATCAATCTACCATACAGGCAGGACAGTGTCTTATACTTGAACCTACTTGCGACAACACTTAAGATGACAATCAAAGTCCAAATTGTAGTACAGTGGTACCTTGGTTCTCAAATGCCTTGGTACTCAAACAACTTGGAACCCAAACGCTGCAAACCTAGAAGTAAGTGTTCCGGTTTGCGAACTTTTTTCAGAAGCTGAACATTTTCTGTTTTAAGTGCCACGCTTCCGTTTTGAGTGTTAACGCTTCCGATTTGAGCGCCACACTTCTGTTTTGAGTGTTACACTGAGGTGTCTGTTTTTGCTATTTATTTTGCATTTTTGTGGCTCTTTTTTTGTTTTTGTGACTGTGTGGAACCCAGTTCAGCTACTGATGGATTGATTGTGTGACTGCAGTACATTGTTTCTTGCTGTCATTTTATGGATCAATGGTCTCGTTAGATAGTAAAATTCATGTTCAATTGCTGTTTTAGGGGTTGTTTTTAAAAGTCTGGAACAGATTAATCCATTTTGCATTACTTTCTATGGGAAAGCGCACCTTGGTTTTGGAACACTGGTTTTGGAACAGACTTCTAGAATGGATTAAGTTTGAGAACCAAGGTGCCACTGTAAAACATACACACGCAATCCCAGTTTTGTGAAGACCTAACCTTCTGATTTCAGTGGTTTTCTCCTTGCATAAGTCTGCCTCCCTTCTCCAACCTGGTGCTCTGCAGATGTTGTTGCACCTGCGTTGCCATCATCCCAGGCCATCCCTGATGGGATTTGGAGGACAGGAGGTTGGGAGAGCTGTTTCTCTTGCAGCTCTGTCAATGGACACAAACATTTCCTTGAAGTGGCATTGGACTAAACCTTAAGGAAACAGCTCCATTCCATGGAAGGAAAGGCTTAATTGGGCCATGGTAGCCTCATGCAGATATTCCCTGTTGATTAGAGCTGGGCAACGTATCAATACGTCATCCAAAATCAGTCTGAAGTCCACATTATGGTAATGTTTTCATAATATTTAGTGGTATATTGTGAATCATCATGTGTATGTGTGTGCTATGTAAAAAAATCAAGATGTGGGAACAACTGTGAAGCTGGTCGTCATTTGTCTCATTATTCCTGCCACCCTCGTTGCTCAATACTATAAAATCATACAGTGGTACCTTGGTTTTTGAACGTAATCCGTTCCGGAAGACCATTCTAGTTCCAAAACGTTTGGAAACTGAAAACTTAATCAGAAGCCTCAATATGGAAAACTCAATACAGAAGTCACATGGCATGTTCAACTTCCGAGGCGCGTTTACTTCCGGGTTTATGGTGTTCGAAAACCGAAATGTTCGTCCATCAGTGGAGATGTTCAAAAACAGAGGTACCACTGTAGTTGTTAAAGGTAAAGGGACCTCTGACCATTAGGTAAAGGGACCCCTGGCCAACTCTGGGGTTGCGGCACTCATTTCGCTTTATTGGCTGAAGGAGCCAGCGTACAGCTTCCAGGTCATGTGGCCAGCATGACTAAGCTGCTTCTGGCGAGCCAGAGCAGCGCACGGAAACGCTGTTTACCTTCTCACCAGAGCGGTACCTATTTATCTACTTGCACTTTGATGTGCTTTTGAACTGCTAGGTTGGCAGGAGCAGGGACCGAGCAACAGGAGCTCACCCCGTTGCGGGGATTCGAACCGCCGACCTTCTGATCGGCAAGTCCTAGGCTCTGTGGTTTAACTCACAGCGCCACCCGCACCCCAACAGTATGTTAAAGGTAAGTAAAAATGTCTCAGTTTTAGACCCCTAAGTAGTAGCAGTTGCCAGTTCGCCTCTACATAGTTCCATCCTTATTTCAGACATCATGATATATCAATATATCATGATGTTTAGCTGGTGATATATCACAATGGTGAAAATCAGACATCGCTCAACCCTACTGTGGATGGAAGCTATGCATGGAGAAGGGGCTAGTGGAAGCAGGCTGCTGGTCCACTGCAGCATTCTGCAAGGCAGTGGTTTCCCCTGCGAATATGCATGCATAGCGGAAAGCCTATGCATGAGCAGCAGTGGATGCGTCTTATGGAGACATCTGAGCCAACACTATGCAGGCATCTTGGGGACATGGCCAGTGAAATTGGAAACAGGCCCAGCAGCACAGTCCCATTGACCCCTTCTTCTGCATGGAGGATGCCCCAGTAGGATTTCTTTCTAATGCCATTTGTGAATGGGTGATAGGAACACTACATATGAGCTCATAGAACTGCAATGCAATATTCAGAATTTTGAAATGGTATCGCTCTTTTTGCAGTGGATCAGGAAAAACAAAACCCTCTTAGAACGGATTGCAACTAGTTTTAAATACTACCTCTACCCACCCCCCCGGTTCTGCATAGATTGCGTATATCCCCTGGTTTATTGCAATATTTAACAGTCTCCTGACACTGACTGTCATTCATTTCTGCTAATCTGTACTCAGAACTGGCAGCATAAATGGCCCATGGCCCTTCAGAGAACAATAAATCACAAATAAAAAATATGTGTGGCTTTCCCTAGGACGTCAAATGAAATAAAAACATAAGTGAGTCATTTGAGACAGCTATATCAAAACACCTGTTTGGCTCAGATACTTATCAGATAAGTTGTGTAAGCCTGTTCTCCGAAGCCTTCATCCAGAGAACTTCCTCTTGGCAATATAACTTCCTTATATACATGCCGTGCACATTGATATCGCCACCCAACAGAACCGCTGAAGGTCAGTTTTAAACGATCGCATTTGCAAAATGTCAGTGGCTGGCAATTTCTTTTTAAAAGTGTGAGCATGCCAAAGGGCTTTGAGCCATTTTTTAAAGCATGCATTTAGAGCAGTGATGGTTGATACTTCTTGGGACTGCTGGGGTGGAAGTCAGGGAGCCCAGTGGTAGGTGGAATCAGAGCCAATGGCAGGCAGAGCCATCTAGAATTCTAGTTTTGTCCCCATCCTTCTGCCTACTAAGTCCTAGAAGGGCAACATTGAGACTAAGGAGGACTCAAAAGACAGGAAGTGCCAGCTACTACTTCCTGGTTGGAAGTAGGAATGTGGTTGAGGCCAAGATTGGTGAAGCACTGCTCCATTCACCCCAATGGATCAACCTCTATTGCTTTGGATACAGTCTTCTGTATGAAGGGCTGTCCACTCCACTTTCAAGATAAAGAATCCTAAGTAGGGAGAGCAGAGACCCTGGAGTTCATAGAATCATAAAGTTGGAAGGGACCCAAAGGGTCATCCAGTCTAACCCCCATGCAGTGCAGGAATCCTTTGCCCAACGTGGGGCTCGAACCCACAACCCTGAGATTAAGAGTCTCATGCTCCACCGACTGGGGTTAATATTTGGGCAGCAGCTCATGTAGAGGGCCCATAGCTCACCTGGTCACAGCTTTCCCCACTATGGTGAGGTAAACATTTCTATTTACAGTGGTACCTCGGGTTAAGAACTTAACTCATTCTGCAGGTCTGATCTTAACCTGAAACTGTTCTTAACCTGAAGCACCACTTTAGCTAATGGGGCCTCCTGCTGCCGCTGCGCTGCCACTGCAGAATTTCTGTTCTCATCCTGAAGCAAAGTTCTTAACCCGAGGTAATATTTCTGGGTTAGCGGAGTCTGTAACCTGAAGCGTATGTAACCTGAAGCATATGTAACCCGAGCTACCACTGTACATCACAATAAGTACTTTTGAAAATTGTATATGTACAATTAACATACTAACATTTCACAGAAATCTTGTCCTTGTTTGGTGTTTGTATTAACCCTTTTGCTGTGGTGCATGAGTGGCCCTCAGACCTCTTTTAATATGTCAATTTGTCCGCTATTTCATTTGGTTTCCACAGTAATGCCTGGTTTAATTGTAAGAATAAAAAAAGACCATGGCGTATAAAGGTATTTCAAAATGGGCTCCAAGTTTTTTCCCCTTTGTAATATTCTGAAAAACATTGTAATCTAACTGAGATATAAATATTAGCATTAGGAACCTGCTCTGCCACAGATAATTCAACCTTGAAGCAACTCTAGTTTTGCAGCCCGTGGTTTCGAAGTGTAACTATTCTCTTCCGGGCTCCATTGCTCCTTTTGTAGAAAGCATGAGATTCCTTCCCCAGTTTTTCATTCTTTCCACATTTGCATCTGTGCCATCTACTACTTCATTCTTGCGACTCCAGACTTGCTCTATGTTACGTTTCACGCCTATACATAGTCTTGCAAAAGCGAATTCGTGTGCTAAAACAGCCAATTGCCACATCCTGAAAATTCAGGTCAGGAGCTTCTTCTTAACGCCATTCCCAGGCATTCTTAAACAGTCCACGGAGGGTCAGTGCTCATTAGCTCCACTCTGTCCACCCACCAATTCAGCCTTCCCCACATTTAACAGAAAAGTTTTGAGGGGGTTTGTAAGCACCTTCTGTTTACAACGCAGGAAGGTCAGTGTGGAGTGGGCAGGGCTGGTGCATATGCCCCTTTTGCACAGAGGGTTTAAGAATGCCTTGTGAGGGGGTCTAAATTAGGGAGAGCCTGAAGTTCCATGTAAAAAAGAAGCTTTGATGCCTGGGAAAACAACCCAATATTCGAAATGGATGCTTACATATATATGCCATGCTAGGATGCTCTTGTAACTTGTTAATTGTAGAGCAAACTTTTTCAGCAGTGGGCCAGTCCAGTGTCCCTCAGACCTTGTGGGGGGCCAGACTATATTTTTAGGGGGGGGATGAACAAATTCCTACGCCCCATAAATAACCCAGAGATGCATTTTAAATAAAAGCACACATTCTACTCATGTTAAAAATCCAGGCAGGCCCCACAAATAACCCAGAGATGCATTTTAAATAAAAGGACACATTCTACTCATGTAAAAACATGCTGATTCCTGGACCGTCTGTGAGAAGGCGATTGGGCCACATCCAGCCCCCGGGCCTTAGGTTGCCTATCCATATTGTAGAGGTAGCACAGAATGCCAAAATCCGGATCCCTGGAATCCTTGAAACCAGGATCTAGTCCTCTCAATAATTCTTACAAAAGCAGACCTAAATATACTGCTCTGAAACGACGTTTACTTTGATACCAAATGAGAACAATGTTCTTCGAACTGGACTTTGACATCTTTCTCTCTGTCTCTGCCTTCAAGGGCTTGGGCATTGTCCTACTTTTGCCACCTTGTTTCCGTGTTCTGCTTGATGTATTTCCATTACCGTGGGTACTAAGCGTTCTTTGTATTTGGCAACTACCCTTAGTCTCTCCTTCAGGCCGTCGATATCTATCACATAGAAAGCATTGTCCTTACCAAGAGGCTGAAATGTAAGATAATGTCAGGAGCTGGATGACAAATAATACTCAGTTGTCTTTGTTTGTTGGGTGCGCTTTTTTAAGGGGCGGGGGAATGGGAGGTTGGGGGTCAAGGGAAGGAGAGAAACTTCTTATTCCCCCCCCCCCCACCGCCCTGAAACTTTGCTGATTTCCCATTCCATCAAATAACCTTTATTATTTGAAAGGTAAGTTAGATTGCTAGCACATGGAAATAAATATTCTGGGATTGCAAGGAGAGAGAGAAAAAGTGCTTTTGGGAGTGATTTGCAGCCAGCCAACAGTATGAAGAGAAAAACTTGCAGGTACACTTCACCCCCTCTTGAACTCTTGGGGTCAAATTTCTTGCTCATTTAGAAATGTAGATCCAAGCTCCCACAATGCTTTTCTGCTTATAATATTCTCAGTTTGAAATTACAACCATTAAAAAAAGGAAAATTACACACACACACACACACACACACACACACACACACAAACCCCTAAGATGGAAGAAATCAAAACTCTTCACCTGACTCTACTGGAAATTATTTACCGCACTTTTTTTTTTAAAAAAAAAAACAGCAGAAGTGCACAGTTAATGCTGTTATAGAGGGTTTTGTTTCCTTAATCCAGGCCTGCACAACATTCAGCCTGTGGGCAATTGCAGTGCTTTCCCTGAGTGTCTGCTGCTCTCGGGGGTGGGGGCATTTTAATTATCCATTGTTTGCAGCCACCTATTCCTGAGCTCCTTTGTGTGGTCTCTCTTCAAATCCAAAGCTTCCCAGTGCTCACTCGGTGCCCAGTTGTTTTATGCACAAGTTGTGCACAAGGTTTATGCACAAGTTTTATGCCCAGTTGTGTTTTAGCACAAGGAAGGGTCTGAAGGCCATGCCACAAAAGCAACAGCAGGGAAGGAGGAGCCCTTTCACAACCCATCTCCTTGGTTTCCTCCTTGCTGAGGGTGGAAGTAAAAGCGGCCGAGGAGAAGGGCTGTACGGAAGGCTTGAAAGTTTCCTTGGCTGGTTTGCTCACCTGTCTTCCTCTTGCCAGACCAGCTGAGGTACAACTGCACATTCTCCTTTGGGCAGAACCTGCAACAACTGGAAGAGTTTCAGGTAGGGTTTGTGAGAGAGAAATGGAGGAGGATGACAAGGGATCTAAATCAAGCAATTCAGTTTTATTTTCCAGTATACCCCCTTAAGCCTAGGGTAGCCAGCATAGTACACTCCAGATGTTGACAGACTAGGGATCTGTTCATTCCAGACCATTGGCCATGCTGGCTGGGGTGGATGAGAGTTAGAGAACCGCAACATCTGGACGGTTTCATGTTAGCTATCCCTGCTTGAAAGCTTAAAACGTTTTAAAAATATCTTTTAGGTGGGGTGGGGGTCTTAAGAGCTAAAGGTGACATAACAGGAAAGTCCTGCTCCCCACTTTCAAGCACCTGCACCCCTTTGTTAATTTCAATTGACATAGCAGTGCTACCGAAGGAAATGTGTAGCTTTTTCTACTTGCTGCTCTAAATCTGCGGCTTTCTTCTTCTTCTTCTTCTTCTTCTTCTTCTTCTTCTTCTTATCACCATCATCATTATCATCATCATCATCATCATCATCATCATCTTTCCTTCAGGAGGACATATGATAGTTTGGGACAGGGCTTTTTTTCAGCCGGAGCTCAGCTCTGGTGGACACCATTGCCATTCTAAGAGAACAAGGGAGAGCTTCGTGGTGAACTCTGGCACCTCTTTTTCTAGAAAAACTGCACTAGTTTGGTCATGTGATCAGAAAAGCAGCATTTGTAGCAAGGGTTAAATGCTCCATCCCCTCTCATCCCCACTGTTCCAATTAAAATTAACCACCCCCTACTGCTTTGCTCTGTATATGCTTGTATGTGTAGATAGTAGTCATTCTGATTTTTTCGCAAGGACAAAGTTGCATCAAGCAATTGCTCTCCCATCAGTTTCAGTTCATGTTCCTGTCGTTTCCTTGTTGAAAAAAGGTGGTTTGGGGTTGGTTGTCCAAGAGCTCCAAATCAGCTCTAAATGTGCAACTTGGGTGTGCCGGTCTGTGATTGACTCTCGCCCCAAAATAGTGACAGTCTGGAAGTCCACTAAGAATGGGGGAAGAGCAGACAGGAGTCCCTCACTCTGTAAGAAATGGTTAAATGGATGCTGCTTGCTGAATTACCGTATTTTTCGCTCCATAGGGCGCACCTGACCATAGGGTGCACCTAGTTTTTAGAGGAGGAAAACACACACAAAAAAATTCTGAATCAAATGTTGCACTAAACTATTTAAAGCAGCAAAGCGGGTGGCTCCTGTCCACTTTGCTGCTTTAAAGCGAGCCTCAGAGGAGGGTAGGAAGGGGAACCATGGCTTATCTAAGTCCAGTTAATAATGCTGAGCCTGACTTATGGCCATCGAGATTAGCCTGGCCGTCTCAGTGGAAATCTGGGGAGGCTGAGGTGGACTTTCAGTGGTCAAAGTGTGGTTGTGTCTTCCTGCCCGGCATCTATTTCCTGCCCTCTTTCCCCCCTGCACCCCCGCACCCTGCTTTGAGGGAAGGAAGCGGAGCCATGGATCCTCTGCTCACAACTGCAGCGGATTCCCTCCACTTTGAAGCAGGAAAGTGGGAGAGGAGCTGCTTACAGAGTGTAAGCTGCTCTCCTCCCACTTTGCTGCTTCAAAGGGAGCCCGGGAGGAGGGAATCCGCTGCATGGATCCCCTTCCTTCCCTCCTCCGTGGTTGCTTTGAAGCAGGAAAGTGGGAGAGGAGCCGCTTACACGGGTTTAAGCTGCTCCCCTCCCACTTTGCTGCTTCAAAGCAAGCCACGGAGGAGGGAGGGACGGATGGAATCCCCTTCCCTCCCTCCTCCCCGGCTCAGGTCAGCAGCAGCGGCTCTTGCTGGCTTTACAATGAGCCGGAAGAGCTGCGCAGAGCGTGTCAGCAGCAGCGGTTCTTGCTAGCTTCGCTCCATAAGACGCACAGACATTTCCCCTTACTTTTTAGGGGAAGAAAAGTGCGTCCTATGGTGCGAAAAGTACGATACTATGAAAAGCTGTCTTTTTGCCAGCCCTTGTTTACCCAAATCAAGGTCCAGAACCAACCTGGCAATGGAAGTGAAACCTTTCGGACGTATTTTATCATTCGGAACAATTAATGCTAGATGAAGTGATGAAATGGTGACCTTGGGCTAAAGAGCTTTCCTCTCCCTGCCATTATCAAGTTTAAGATCTGACCTCTACATTTTGATGTGCCTACAACTTGACCTTAAAGAGAAACTATCCTTTACCTACCCATCTCTATTTGCAGGCCACCACCACCTTTTCCACTGGCTGGGGAAAGTTTTTTTTTACAAAGTGCTTTGCAGCCAGACCTCTCAGTGAAAGTGGCACACTCTGCTCCCACCTCTAGCAGAACAATCTGCTAATTCTCGCTGCTGGAAGAGGAGGTGGTGACAGCAGAGGGAGCAGACGAAAGAATTGCCAGGAAGGGGGATAGACTTTTGAGCTGTCATCTGACAGTCCTGTTAGGAAGGCAGGCTCTATGTGTCTGCTTATGAGGACCAGAAGGCATAAATGCTGGTCAGGTCAGTTTTTATTTAGCTTTGCTTATGCGAGCCTCTTGGGACAGGGTGTTGAGCAGGAAGCTTGTCTGTTTTCCAACCGGTGTCTTATGGTAGCATATGTATGTTGAAGCTGAGAGTTTTATACTGAGATGTAGCTCAGTGGTAGAGTCTCTCTGTCTTGCATGCTGAAGACCCCAGATCCAATCCTGGCATCTCCAGGCAGGGCTTGGGTATGCCTGCTGCTTGAAACTCTGGAGAGTTGCTGCCAGTCCCATAGACACTTGTTGTTTAGTCGTTTAGTCGTGTCCAACTCTTTGTGACCCCATGGACCAGAGCACGCCAGGCACCCCTGTCTTCCACTGCCTCCCACAGTTTGGTCAAACTCATGCTGGTAGCTTCGAGAACACTATCCAACCATCTCGTCCTCTGTCGCCCCCTTCTCCTTGTGCCCTCCATCTTTCCCAACATCAGGGTCTTTTCCAGGGAGTCTTCTCTTCTCATGAAGTGGCCAAATTATTAGAGCCTCAGCTTCAAGATCTGTCCTTCCAGTGAGCACTCAGGGCTGATTTCCTTAAGAATGGATAGGTTTGATCTTCTTGCAGTCCATGGGACTCTCAAGAGTCTCTTCCAGCACCATAATTCAAAAGCATCAATTCTTCGGTGATCAGCCTTCTTTATGGTCCAGCTCTCATTTCCATACAGCAGAGTTCAAAATTAGCCAGGTGCATTTTGCACCTAGCTTTCAGCCACTTTTGACCACAGGAAGATGCCTGGGCACCAGGAAGATGCCTGATATCTCTACCATCTGGAGTTCCATGAAGGGGGTCTGGATTGTTTTCACACACTAATACCACATCCTGTAGAATTCTATCCGTTACATTTTACCTGTGCAACCGGAATGAATTTCAGGAACCAAAATGCTTTTTTCTTTGCTGTCTGAGCAGGAGCAGTGAACAACGTTACAGTGAATTGTTGTAGCTTGTCTTCACTTAGCCCACCCCACTGTCCTGCTCACAGTCGTGAAGAATATCCCTACATTATGAATGGTCTGTGTCACCATTAAGAAAAAGAGGTAGTGGCAGGCCAATATATATGTGGGCTGTGTCTGGAGCAAGTGACTTTTCTTCTTTAAGTTCTCAAAGCTCTTAGCCTAGCTCAAGGTTGTCATCTGAACTAGCCAGATGCTTAACAATCACAGTCAGTCTGTCATTTGAAGAACTTTAGAGCTGTCTTGCCCCGAAAGGGCAAGCAGACATTCCGTTTTGGTGTAATCTTTGTTTAAGAAGCCATTTGACACCTAGCTTATATACAGTACCTCAGGTTAAGTACTTAATTCGTTCTGGAGGTCCGTTCTTAACCTGAAACTGTTCTTAACCTGAAGCACCACTTTAGCTAATGGGGCCTCCCGCTGCTGCCGCGCTGCCAGAGCACGATTTCTGTTCTCATCCTGAAGCAAAGTTCTTAACCCAAGGTACTATTTATAGGTTAGCGGAGTCTGTAACCTGAAGTGTCTGTAACCTGAAGTGTATGTAACCTAAGGTACCACTGTATCTGAGTTTCTAGCACTGGTACACAGTGGTAAACTGGATGAACTCAGTGGAAGTCAGCTTTCAATGTTCCTGTGGATGGAGGAGAACAGCCATGTGAAGTGTTGGCAGCAAACTGGCTGCACTGGGATTAGCCTCTTTTAATGGACTCAAACAGCTGATACTCCTCAAGCAGCCTTGTATTTTGATTGGTTGTCGGATCACATATTTCACAGCAATATTAGCTGAGCTTTGTTGACAGCAAGGAGTTAACACACAAAGGACTTTGTTCTTGCCCCTTCAAAAGTCGCTGGGTCAGCCTGAATGCTGACTCTGCATGATGAGAATCTCATTTTACCTTCTGAGCCAAAGAAGAACTTGTGCCAGGGAGTGACACTTGATTCATAATACTGCCAGCGTTACAAGCAGGGCAAATCCATATTCCAAACAAGGTAATTATGACTTTGGAGACATCTCTAGCTTGCAAGCCTGCTCTTATATTGCATCTTTCTTGAGTTACCAGTGAGTATAGCTTCAGCATCTCTCATTTTGATAATTATCAGTAGTGTTTCTTTGGAGGCTGTTGCTCTTACATAAAACCAGGGATGTTTTCTGTGACCATAGAGGTAAAAGAGGTAAAAGAGGTAGTTTGTCCACTGCGAAGGCAGAGGAGCATATTTTAAAGAGGCAGGGAGTGACCTTTCTAACTTAAAAAAAAAAAACTACCCCAGTGAGCTTCTTAACCATTCCTAGTAGCAGTTAGGATCTAGAAGAAATACCAATGGAAAGAATATGGAAGAAAATGAATAAAGTGTCAAGCAAGCTACCTGAAAGGTAAAGTTAAAGGGACCTCTGACCATTAGGTCCAGTCGTGACCGACTGTGGGGTTGTGGCGCTCATCTTGCTTTATTGGCCGAGGGAGCCGGCGTACAGCTTCCGAGTCATGTGGCCAGCATGACTAAGCCACTTCTGGAGAACCAGAGCAGCGCACAGAAACACCATTTACCTTCCCGCCGGAGCGGTACCTATTTATTTGCACTTGGACGTGCTTTCGAACTGCTAGGTGGGCAGGAGCAGGGACTGAGCAATGGGAGCTCACTCCGTCGTGGGGATTCGAACCGCCGACCTTCTGATCGGCAAGTCCTAGGCTTTGTGGTTTAACCCACAGCGCCACCCGCGTCCTGAAAGGTAGACTGTACCAATAGGAATCTTATACAATAGGTGTGTTTTCTGTTTATATGATGACACCGGTGGTTATGTGGCATTTTACAGAGTACAAGAGGAGCTCACAAATAAATTTTAGGTCAGGAACAGGTGGGGGAAACAAACCAGGAGCTCTGCTTACTGTGGTGGCCAAGCATTGAATCCTGGGTATTTTTTTTTAAAAAGCCATGGTTTGTTGGCTTGCATATCCTAGCTTGTTGGTGAACAACTGGCCAATATTCTGGTTCAGACATGTTTCCCCAGTGACAGCAATGGGGATTTTTACAAAACATTTTGAATGGGAAATCATCCTTTTTTGCAAAAAAAAATAATCCTGCGCAAATTACAGTGTTTTCAGTCTTCATCAGAAAATTTCCAGTTCCCTGCAGAGGGATCGGATTTAGCATGTTCAATTTCCTTTTATTTAGTAAACAAAGCTATGAACTTGCCAAGATTGCCTACTGCTGCATTTTCAGCTGGCGCATCCATTCATTGTTGCTAATGAATTTTAAGAAATATAAAATTCCCACAGGGATTTCCCCCTCTCCGCTTCACTGGCTATATGCCCTGTTTATTGCGACGTGCAAACGTGGCTGTGTGGTTGTTTCAGTTGTGCATGCTCAGAGTTCCATTAGGGCATTAGCTGGTTTTTGGACAGATGTTCTGGGAAGCAGCCCCAGGCACAGGGCAGCAAGGGAGAAGTGATGGAACTGTTGTAGGATGCAGGAAACCTTTGAGCAGCTACAAGTGGTGGAACTAGATGAGCAAAGGTCATTGGCAGGATTGTATCAGGAGATGGGGGTGGCGGGGGCAAGGCTATGGAGGAGGTTGAAGGACCTTGCGCTGAATGTGGAAACAGACAGAAAGAAGTAGAGAGATAAAATTTGCCGAATCATTTCTATTGATTTTTCCAGATTGTACCTAATCAGCCACAAATTAAAACAAATTTAATACAGTTTTTCCCCAAAATTGGTTTCCCGCCCTCTATTCTTGATGTGTCCAGTTTCCTCCTGTTGCTGCTTTATTTTTTAATACACGTTCCATTAAACTACTTTATCCCTAACCATCAGCTATCCACTTGCCTATTCCTGCACGTGAAATATTTCAACATTTGCAATATCTACAAGGGAGGTTACTCCACCAAGTGTCAAATCCACAATAGATCAGTAATGATCATTTCTAAAACAAATTCCTTTCTTGGGTAGAGATTTCAATGAGTGGTGTTGCATGATCAGAGTGGTGACAGAGGCATATTATTATAGCAGCAGAGTGCTTGACAGATGTGAGGAGACCCAGGTGAGACAGCGGAAGACCAAAGAGGAGGAGGCTGTAGTCTAGGTGAGAGATTACCATGGCGTAGACTTGAGTTCCTGCGGTGGGAAGGGCTGCATTTTTTGCAAAGCAACACAATGTAGCTGTGGACTCCGCATGAGGAACAAAGGAGGGGGAGAAAAACCAAGGTTACACGCCTGTTCAACAGGGTAGCTGGCAACATTGTCGACGAACAAAGAAAGTGTGCAGGGTGAAGCAGGAACAAAGAAAGGAGGCTTGGGAGGAAAGATGAGAAGTACAGTCTTGAGAAGATTGAGACTGAGACAACAATGAAGCGTCCAAGCAGAAATATTGGAGAGACAGCTGGAGACGTGAGGTTGGGGCGAGGGAAAGGTTTCAGGGGGAGCTGTGCCAAAGACCTGGTGTATCAAAATCTCCACACACTGCCTTGAACTAGGAGAAAAGAATCCTAACAAGACAGCAAGCATAGATTAAAGCCATTCAAGCCTGGATGTGGGTCTGTTCTGGACTGGCGTCTGAGCCACAAACACGAGTTTGAACTAGCCGGAATTTCTCCTTTGATCATGTGGCTTCTGACATCTTTTCAAAACTCTTCCGCAAGGCTAGCCTGCCATTTCTGTACTGTGACTAATTGTACCGTGCTGAATTTCCCAGTGTAATAGTTATACTTTTGAACTCTGGCAGAGGAGATGTTCTTTGGCTTGGCGGATTGTGAAAGTCATCTTAATGGGGAGAGATGTGGTGAGTTTTTTTGGTTGGGTTCATCTGGACTGCATTCTGCAGATTACCTCTTAATTCTCAGGGAAGTGCTTTGGCTAGCAGGCTCTAACTTTGTCAGAATCACTTACGGCTTTCATCCTCCATGTGAGGCAGACCTCCTGCAAAGGCATGAAGGGTTTCCAGGGGAAGACAAGCTCCTTTTATAATACCTTCCAACCAATATGAAGGAAGAGATTGCACCCAGTGCCTTTTTTTCCTCTTTGCCAATAAGCAACGGAGCCTTATGTACTGGAAGTTACTTTTACATCCTTGCAAGACTTTTGTCATCTCTAAGCAGGCACTTCCTGTCCCACTTCTTATTACTATATATTTTTTTAGAAAATAATGTCCAAACAGCACATGAGAGTGGCATACCCTTGTCTTTAAATGCAAGGTGGCCCTTAAACAAAAATTCTAGCCAGGAAATCAAAGCAACACTTTCTTTGCAGCAAAGGAAGAATTGGGAGTAGACTTTGAGTGCACTCCCAATTCTTCCTCCTTTTATATAATAATAATAATAATAATAATAATAATAATAATAATAATACCCTGCCCATCTGGGTAGATTTCCCCAGCCACTCTGGGCGGCTTCCAACAAAATATTAAAATACAACAATTCATCAAATATTAAAAGCATCCCTAAACTGGGCTGCCTTCAGATGTCTTCTAAAAGTCAGATAGTTATCTGACATGAGAGCGTTCCACAGGGCAGGCGCCACTAACGAGAAGGCCCTCTGCCTGGTTCCCTGTAACTTTTCTTCTCACAGTGAGGGAACTGCCCGAAGGCCCTCTGCCCTGGACCTCAGTGTCCGGGCAGAATGATGGGGGTGGAGACGCTCCTTCAAGTATACTGGGCTGAGGCTGTTTAGGGCCTTTTAGGTATGGTTTGAACTTTCCCATGCCTGATATGACATCAAGGCCTGCAAAAGTGGATGTGGTTTATGCGAAACAACATGGCGGACCACCCTGTGGTTCAGAGGGACTCCACCACAAATCTTAAAGGGCCAAAGGAGTGTGGAGGTAGGAGGTGCTGGAGCCTTTCCCCAAGTCCCCCCCCCCCGCCTACCCATGCACACATAATTGGGCTCATCCTACTCACCCACAGAATGTCAGAAGACAATTGCTTCCCACTGAAGCCTCCTTAAGAAGGGTAGGCCTTCACGTAATACAATCCTTGTTGCAAATATCACACACTATAGCTGGAAAAAGAAAGATAATAAAAAGAACCATCACTGTTGCGATGTTCCTGTTTTTCTCTGCAATTTCTGTCATGACCGTCAGCTTTTGTTTCCTCAGAGTTGGAGGAGACAGCAAAATATCATTTTTCTTCCCGTTACAAAAGAGAATGAGAGTTGTATTCCCAGAAATCCCTGCAGTTTCTTGGAAAGGGAAAAGAAAAGAGAAAAAGGAGGGACTGCTGCCACTTGAGCCGGTGGATTATTTTTTTAATGGTTTAATTGTTAATTCAGATCCCAAACGTTATGTCTACATATTTGGGGATATACGTAACACATCCACAGACACAGTCTCTCGCTCTCCATTCAGAACACTGCAGCAGATGTCAGGAGTTGGCACAAGTTGAGAGAGGGGAAAAACATACACAAAACACTTTTGTAACAGCATAGCTAAGGCCTCCGCAGTATATGATGGTGGTAGCAGGTTCACATTTTTAAAACATGAGCCAGCCCCACCCAGATATAATGCAGGAAGGAGGGATAGTCAACTGAGATTGAAAAACAGGGTCAATTGGGCAAGCAGGGGACAAAAGCCTCCCAGACAGTTCATATTTTTAGACTCCCCCCCCCCAGCTCTTTTTTTGTGAAAGTAGTGTTTTCTTTCTTTTTAAAGAACTGAATTCAGTTTAAGCAGTGGTTTTGCTTTTATTTAGATGTGAAAGCCTAGACATATTTGGAGAGGAACACAGATACTATGTACCATTCACTATCCTCAAAAAATGATCTTTCTAAATATTTCTAACATTGTGTTTATGGGGGGGGGGGGTTTAAACTCTAAAAGAAAAACATTTGGGGGGCACACTGAGGAAAAACCTCCAACAAAGTAGTTTCCCTTTTGGGATGAGTGAAATGCTTTGAAAGACAATATTTTATTCATTCAGGGTGTGTAGTATGAAGAATTTTATATGCCAAGTTTTTAAAAAATGTATATAATGGTGTATTTGATGCATTACACTGTATACATTTTCTCCATGTTCTCCCCACCCCACCCACTGAATGGCTTTAGAGACCTTGCATCTCTTAATACATATACAAATAAATTTACACAAGCACAAAACCATTCTGGCTTATTCCATAGTGGTATTATGTAACCAAATCAATCATTGTCAATTCAGCCAAGTGAGATGACCACATGGAGATTCAGGTGGCAAGTGGATGACTCACCTGTAAATGTTCTCCTCCCCAAGTTTCTAATTACAAGGGGAAAGAGGACTTTCCTATCTCAGTTTGTTTTGCAAATAATATATATTTTGTATGCAGTCTTTACCATGTCATGCTATACTTGTTTACACTAGTAAACTCAGTTTATACAGTGGTACCTTGGGTTACATACGCCTCAGGTTACATATGCTTCAGGTTACAGACTCCGCTAACCCAGAAATAGTACCTCGGGTTAAGAACTTTGCTTCAGGATGAGTTCAGAAATTTTGCTCCGGCGGTGCGGCAGCAGCAGGAGGCCGCATTAGCTAAAGTGATGCTTCAGGTTAAGAACAGTTTCAGGTTAAGAACGGACCTCCGGAATGAATTAAGTACTTAACCCGAGGTACCACTGTATTGCACAAGCATGGACACACACTGCTGTTAGAAAACAACTTCCTCCCCCATGATCCAGCGATCTGGTGAGACAGTGGACACCTCACAGCTCATGTGTGTTTGGGTCTTGTGTTGTGCTGGAGTGCTTGTCTCAGTGGTAAGGGAAATGTGATGCTCCGCATTTTGACTGCTTAGTTTTGGAGTAATGCCCCTTCTGCTTCCCTGCCCCCGGAAGCACCTTGGGGGATCCCATTCCAATTGTTAACTTTTGTGAGTGTGGGCCATTTTGTGACATACCTACAGAGAGATGAGCAAATACCTTATGTTTCACACAATCTTCTAATTTGCACGTTCCATGCCTCTAATTGTTTTGAGTTATTCTTCCAATCCATTATATTGAGGGAGGAAAATTAAAGTCCCATTTTCCATTATTCTAGAAGTCAGTGTGCTTTAGTTCAATTGCGTAGCAGATCTAAACTTTCTAGCTAATGTTGTTGAAGCCTGTTAAAAATTTCAGGGAGGATTTCCATGTTATCTGTGGCTGGACAGGAGTGTGCCCCACCAAATCAAAACGTATCAGCAAAGTTCATGCCCTTTGTAAAAACCATAGAATTGTAGAGTTGGAAGGGATCCCGAGGGTCTTCTAGTCTAACCCCCTGCAATGCAGGAATCTTTTGCCCAGCGTGGGTCTCGAACCCACAACCCTGAGGTAAACATTCTCATGCTTTACCAACTGAGCCATAAGAGTACTTCCAGAAGACCTGTTTATTGAGCATTCGTTCTGATTTGTTTATGGGGAGGCTAAGACAGTGTTCCATCAAAGCAGTTGTTGTCCCACACTGCCCACTTCATTTTCCTGTCACTTTCCTTACAGCTAAAAGTTGGGGGGGGGTTGGGAGAGAGGAGAAATTGGTTAGCTGTGCAAGACCTTCAAATCACCTTTAATCATCCAAGCTTAATTTACCAGCATGTGATTTGATACTACTTGAAATTAGTGACCATCTAGAAGTGTCATGATCCTGACATGGGGTAACTGTGCCCCTGAAGGACCAGGTGCGCAGCCTGGGAGTCATTTTGGACTCACAGCTGACCATGGAGGTGCAGGTCAATTCTGTGTCCAGGGCAGCTGTCTACTAGACCCTGAGACCCTACTTGCCCGAAGACTGTCTTGACAGAGTGGTGCACGCTCTGGTTATCTTCTGCTTGGACTACTGCAATGCCCTCTATGTGGGGCTACCTTTGAAGGTGACCCAGAAACTACAACTAATCCAGAATGTGGCAGCTAGACTGGGAGTGGCCACTGAGACCACATATCTCCAGTCCTGAAAGACCTGCATTGGATCCCAGTACGTTTCCGGGCACAATTCAAAGTGTTGGTGCTGACCTTTAAAGCCCTAAATGATCTCGGTCCAGTATACTTGAAGGAGCGTCTCCACCCCCATCGTTCTGCCCAGACACTGAGATCTAGCACTGAGGGCCATCTGTCAGTTCCCTCACTGCGAGAAGTGAGGTTAGGGGCCTTCTCAGTAGTGGAGCCAGCCCTGTGAAACGCCCTCCCATCAGATGTCAAAGAAATAAACAACTATCTGACTTATAGAAGACATCTGAAGGCAGCCCTGTTTACGGAAGTTTTTAATGTTTGATGTTTTATCATGTTTTTAATATTTTGCTAGAAGCTGCCCAGAGTGGCTGGGGAAACCCAGCCAGATGGGTGGGGTATAAATAAATCATCAGCATCAGCATCATCATTACCTGAGTTTTATTTCATGCAAAAAAAAAAGAAAAAGTGATATTCCCGCTCCTGAGTGTGTGTGTGTGTGTGTGTGTGTGTGTGTATGGGGCGAGGGGAACCTACTAATGCAAATCTGGGGGGGAAACCATCCTTAGTATAGCCATATTGCTGATAGTGTGGATTATGTCAATCTTGTTAAAGTAGCCAGTTGCATACTCCTATTCCTGGGGTGAGCAGAGCAGAGCTCAGAAAGGGGAGGTAGTTCTGTGGCATTATCCAGCATTGGGTGGTGGCTGTTGTTGTTTAGAGAAATACAGTGAGAAGGGATGAATACTTGCTTTCCCACCCAAGAGGGGAGAAAACAGGAGACGCTTGGGGGTGGGTATATGGAAATGTTCATGTCAAAGGTTGAAGCAGCTGAACAACATTGCTGAGGTTATTGTGATGTGTGAATAAACAACTGCAACAAATGCCCTTGGAGTACGCTGTTTCCTTTTAACAATTTAATATTGATTTTATCTCAGCATGGGCCTGTGAAACCTTTTGTTGCTGCGAATCTTGCCATTTCTTCTGATACACACACCCTGTTTGAAATGCCCTGCCTGGTCTTGTCTGAATGTAGCATTGCTGGCTACCGAGAGATCTCAGTAACATAACTCTACAGCTCCATGAAATGTGAGTTCTTTGCATAGTTCAGGGTTGGCGGGGGGTAGCAGCAGGACTCCTTTGTGTGTCAGTAACTGGGAATTGGTGGCCGTGACGTGGGGTTGCCATATGTCCTCTTTTTCCAGGACATGCCCTCTTTTTCATGGGTTTGTAAAATGAGAATCGTCATAGCGATCCGTAGTTAAAAGCAGAAAGTCTGCAAATGTATCCTCTTTTTTGCTCTTCCAAATATGGCAACTCTAGCAGTGTGAACAGCTCAAAAGTTGCGAACTTGCACAATATATGGGACGGACCTGGGAGATACAGTGTGACTACTTTAGGGAAAGAAGGTAGTTCTGGAACGCTTTACAAAGAGGAGTGTTTTCTTATTAACCTCTGTGTTGATTGTGCTTTATTATTCTGTGCCTGCATCCCGTTTAGTGGTAGATAATATGTGTGCATGTGTGTAGCTGCCTTATACTGGTCCATCTATTCCAGTAGAATAATAGAATTGTGGAGTTTTGACAGAACCCAAGGAATGCAGAAAACTCAGCTAAAGCATCCATAGCAAATGCCATCCAACCTCTGCTAAAAAACCTCCAAGGAAGGTATTATGTACTCTGCTTAGCAATGCTTCATCCAGGCAGAAGTCTTCCCAGTTGCCAGGGATCCTTTGAACTGAGGATGCCAAAGATTGAGTCTCTGAATGCAGTAAAATGGTTCTTGACTGCGCTTTGGTCTCTGCCAGTTAGGAAGATGTCAACACAGCACCACAAGTGTTGGTGCTGACCTGGTAACTGGAGACCTGATCTCTCTCTTTCCCCCCTTAAACACATCCACCCACCTCTGGACATTGGTGCAACAGCAGGCAGCAAAGAGTACCCTCATTTTCAGATGCTGCAGAGCTGCATGGTTTTGATAGTGCGACCCTCCTCTATGCATACTGTCGAAAGGTGAAGTCCCAGGAAGGGTTTACTTGACAAGCTTGGTTCTGCTGTGCTTATTTGGAAGGTGGCATTAAGTCATTATAAGACACTGTTTATTCTGCTGTGTTTAAACTTGGTCTGAAATATCAGGGCTGCGGGTAAGCTTTATTTGGCAACTCTCATCTTTTGGTTAAATGAGCTGCTGCTATGGTTTCGCTGTACATAGACTTGTTTTGTTTTGTGCATACATACAGACACACAGACACACACAGACACAGAGGCCAAAAAGTGACTCAGGATTATTTATAAAGTAGGAGAGGAGGAAGGCAGGTGAAGAGTCCCTTTTTAATTATAAGTGTTTCCTGTGCAGCTACGAGCTATAAAACAAGTTCCTGCTGCATCTGTTTCAGGCTTTGACTTGTGAATATTGTTTTTCAGTATCCAAGTAAAGTAGAGATGGCTTCCATTTTGTCTCTTTTCTTGTACGCTGCCTTCAAGATGGCAGGAGATGTTTTTAAATACGTCTTTAGGGATGTAAACTTTATGGTGTGCTCTGTTCAGCGTCAGTGTCTTCTCCCATTATTTTTGGTCTTCCTGCAGCTCTTAACTACTGAATGCAAAAGAAGTCTTACAAAGTTACGCCATGCTTTATGCATTTGAAACTCCATAAGGAAATGTGTATCTAACGTAACGTTTTGCGGAATTTCCCTAAATCTCCTTTAAGCCTCCCTTGCGATAAGTAGAAGAGTACCATTTATAAATGCACATTTAAAGTAGTATAGGCTCCTTATTTGTGTCCTGGCCTTGGGAAATGCAGAAAGTCATGTTAATACCGTGATGTGGGTTCAACAGCACTCTTTCCACCTGTGATTCAGAGGTATACTGACAGTGGAGCAGCCTTCAGTGCAAAAGATGGGCTGTAATTCCCCAAATATTCCTGCAAAAATCTTCCAAGTGTTCAGAGGAATACTTGGGGAGCCTGTGGCCTTTTGGTTGTTGCTGGACTCCAACTCTCATCAGCCACAGCCAGTGCGGTCAATGCTTAGGGATGATGGGGTGTTGCAGTCTAGCACCATCTAGGGAGCCATGGATTCCCACACCCACGAAGGTATCTCATGCTAGTTTAAACTGTATCCTGATAGCAGCATTTCCATAGAAAAGAGCAAAATAACTGTTTTCTCCCCATCTTCCATATAGGTTGCACAATGACGTCTCTGGATGAAACAATCAATAGCTATCTGGATGTTTGGCTTGGACCCAGAGGTAGGTGGTTTATTTGGGAGAGGGTGGGCTACCTAGTTTCTGATTACTTGCCAAAGGTTTTTATGTTCCTGAATACAGTGACATTTAAAAAAACTCTTAACTAAGATGTTGTGTAGTAGTCACTGGAATGAGGACTGAAATCCCTGCATAGTTGGTTTTTTTGTTTTGCTTTGCTTTGTTTTGGCTTGCAATGGATAAAAGTGCTTTATTAGATGTATACTTTTATCGTTGTTGGAATTCAATACAAGGGGTGTTCTGATTTATGCCACTTTAGGTAGCTAGATCTTTTGGAGAGGTGGCCTATAGTTACATTAATAAATAAACTCCCCAGCAGCAGCGTCAGTGAGCGAATAGCATATTTCTGCGCTGAATTCTTCTGTGTACAAAATAGCTCCTTTTAAGACTCTGCCTCTGTGGTTCTGTTCCCATGGAAAGCACAGTCACGAACAAAACGAAATAGTTGCCCTTTTTATGTGTTTGCTTAGACATATTGCATTTGAGGCACCCTTGCTGATCTCACCCTCCGCATCAGCTGAGTTGGCACAAAAATTGAGCCCGCATGTTCCGATGACCCTGCAGGGTGAGAATTCTGTAGTGACATTCGGTCCTGACGTCAGAGTGGAAAACACATGAATGAGGCAGCCCATTTATGTTAGCACATGTTCAAAAACTCCTGTCAGTTAATAGACTCATAAACATTACAGCTATCGGAAAATACGCAATTGCTCTTGCATTTGGCGTATGTTAAACAATTGTGGAAGCAATGTATCCAAACTGAACCGCTGAAATGCCATTGATATCTGTGGGAAATATAAAAGCTCATATTGTAGCTTAAATGACAGAACACACAATGCTGTATGGAGAAAGACCCAAGTTCGGTGTTCAAATTTAGCCAGGCGCCAGGCATGTTTTGCGCCTGACTTTTGACCGCTTGTGACCAAGTGAAGATGCCCTGAGCACCAGGAAGGCAACTGAGGTCTCTACCATCTGGAGGTGCATGCTTGGGGATCATTGGATCTTGGCTGTAGAATTCTATCCGTTACATTTTACCTGCACAACGGAATGAATTTCAGGAACCAAAATGCTTTTTCTGTGCAGCCGGAGCAGGAGCAGTGAACAACATCATAGTTAATAGTTGCAGATTGTCTTCACTTAGCCCACCCCACTGCCCTGCTCACAGTTGTGAAGAATATCCCTACATTATGAATGTTCTGTGTCCCCATTAAGAAAAAGAGGTTGGAATAGGTCAATATATATGTAGGCTGTCCCTGAATCAAGTGGCTTTTCTTCTTTAAGTTCTCAAAGCTCTAAGCCTAGGTCAAGGTTGTCACCTGAGCTAGCCAGATGTTTAACTGAGAATCAATCCCAGTCATCTTCATCCTTTGAAAAATAAGACTTTAGAGCAGGGTTTCCCAAACCTGCGTCTCCACCTCTTTTTGGACTACATTTCCCATCATCCCTAGCTAGAAGGACCAGTGGTCAAGGATGATGGGAATTGTAGTCCCAAAAAACCAGATGGAGACCCACATTTGGGAAACCCTGCTTTAGAGCCATCTTGCTCAAAATGGCAACTATACATTCTGTTTTGATGACTGTAATCTTGGTTTAAGGAGCCGTTTGGCACCTAGCTTATATATCTGAGCTTCTAACACTGCCCAAGTTTGCTTCCTGGTGTTTCCACTTAGAAGATCTGAGAAGGCTTCTGCTTATGACCTGTGCGTGTTGCTGCCCATTAGAACAGATAGCATTATCCTAGCTGGACCAAAGTTCTGATGGTGTAAGACTGGGCTCTCCAGATGTGACTGGGCTTCCGCTCTCATCAGCTCTGCCCATTGGCCATGCTGGCTGGGGCTGATAGGAGTGCTATAACATCTGGAGGGCACCAGGTTCCCCTTCCCTGGTATAAAGCAGCATCATATCATCAATTTGCTTAACTCTACTATGACACACCCATGGGAATGAAAGATGCTCCGATTTTCTTGGATCATCCCCAGGTTTCCAAAACATGAAAGGCCGCCCCCCCCCCCCCAAGAAAGTGCAACTCCTCGGAATATATTTTTCAGATTCAACAGCAAAGCTAAATTGTGCGAACATGGGATCTCGGATCTCTTTATAATATAGTATTTAAGCACTATTTAAAATATTTACATTCTCCTTATTTTGCCACAAAGCCTGGTAGTTCAGATGGGTGGGAATCAATCAAACTGAGAAAGTGGCAACTTGGAAGGTGAGGCGAGCATCTTGGCTCTGACAAAATCCATCTAATTTCAGATAATGGGAGTAATGGAGATGTCAGGAAGGAGCGAATGAAAAGTAACTTGGAATATAAAAGCACCTGGTATCAAGATTTGAGAGAGAAGTAGGAAAGGCTAGTGTGTCAGGTGCTCCTTCAGGGAGCAGCACTTTTGTAAAGGGAGCATAATTAGTTGTTTAGCAACAGAGCAATTAAATAAACCTCGCCACTAGTGTGGGGTTAGTGTTAATTCAGAGCAACGGGCTTTTCTCACTGTATCTCCCAGCTATTATTCCTTTGGCTTCTCTTAGAAAAGACTTGCTAAAGGGGGAACCAAATCTCCACACACACCAGAAACCACTAGCACAGATTGTCCTCCCAACTTCCTTTGGTCTGAAATGTTGGTATTGAATCTGCTCAGACGCTCTGGAGCAACTGCTTCCACAACATGCATAAATGTGCACCCTTCCCTTTCCTAACAATGAATATTCCGCCAGTCTTAAGTCTCAGAAGTCTTTGAAATTGCCTTAATCCAGATAACAGTGTTGCCTTTGTGTTCCATTTCAGATCCCAGAGTAAAAGGATGGTTTCTCCTGACCAATTACACACCTACCTTCATCTTCACCGTCTTATACTTATTAATCGTATGGTTAGGACCAAAGTACATGCGGAACAGGCAGCCGTTCACCTTCAGGGGTATTCTAGTGGTCTATAACCTCGGGCTTACGCTTCTGTCCCTCTATATGTTTTATGAGGTAAGAAATGAAGAGGCTGTGCATTTTTCTCGCCTTGCTTGTTCCATGCTTTCATACAAAATATCGGGTTCAGGAGGCCTCTCCGAATAATACAGATTCAGAAGACTTCTAAAAGCAACTGGGAATGGCTCCCACCAAATCTCTGTTTTTGCAAGGAGTTCCACAGGGCAGAGCCTGCCATACAAAAGGCTCAGTCCCTGGTAAGGTGGCAGAAAGGATGTGAAGGGAGAGAGTCTATGTGCTGACCACCTCCATCGCAAGGATGCTTCAGAAGGGAGTTGCTGCCAGGAACATTATGTGCAGGTGTATTTTGATGCATTGAACAGAATGAAAGTTTATGAGTCATGGTGGAGGGGAGAGCATATGCGTACAAATTCAACAGAGCTTTGTTTGTTTTGTTGCCATTCTATACAATTTATGCTGTATTTGTGATGTTCCATTATGTTATTTTTATCTTTTGTTTGTAAGCTGCTTTGGGATTTATTTGAATAAAAAGCAGCATAGAAATAGAATCAATCAATCAATCAAAAAGGCCAGTCAAACCTCAGGGGCGTGTGGGACCACCAGCAAATGCCCCATCAGCGATCAAAGTGGATATATTTGTCTGGAAGCTTGGACTTCACAATCCTTGTAATATATTTCCTTCTCTCTCCCCCTGCCCCCAACTTTGGTAAACTTTGACCAATTGTGACTCCTAAAAAGTTAACCATTATAGTTGCACAGTTCATACATTTACAGGCCACCAACGCCTTTCTGGTGGCAGAGGAACATAGTCTTCTAAGCTCATCCTGCAAAAGCTTTACATGTTTGACTGTAGCACTTACCTCAAGTGCGGTTTGGCAGAGAAAGTGGCTTATACATTCCTGAAATAAGTGAACAAGCAGGGCTGTTCCACACATGCCTGAATGCACAAAGCCCTCGTGCCGCATTTTATGGGAGATGTGTGGTTAAGTGACGGAGACCATAACCTGCTCCTATGTCACGGCAAGCAGCTCGGAAGACCAGAAAACTGCATGAAATGAGTCTCTAGCAAACACATCCTTTGAATAATAGTTACGTAGAATGCTATGATATTAGAAACGCATGTTGTTGTTTTGGGGGGGAATTATTGACATTTTCACAATACCATAAAAAAAGCAAACTAATCTACAGGAAATACAATAAAGAAAGAAACTAAAGGAAGAAGGAACAGGAAAAAAGAAACTACTCATTGCTTATATTGTAACTTGCATCCCCTACAGAGGAAGGTGTGCCCTCCCAGCTCTCACCTGGCCCCATCCCTCTCTTCCCACAGCCCCTCATCCCTCTGGTATCTCTCCTTACCCACCTCTCACACAGGGTTCTCAAACTGTCCTCTCCCTTATCTGTATACAGTTCTTGTTGTTTCGTCATCTTAGTCATCTTCAAATCTCTGTGACCCCATAAATCAGAGCATGACTTGGAAACTCTCACTTTCTTCTCAAAGCTTCTCTTTTTCTTATGTCCATTGAGTTTTCTTGGCAAAATACTGGAGTGGTTTGCCAGTTCCTTCTGCAGGTGGATCACATTTAGTCTAAACTCTTGTCTATGACCTGTCTGTCTTGGGTGGCCCTTCACGGCATAGCTCATAGCTTCTCTTGAGTTATTCAAGCCCCTTCACCACAACAAGGCAGTGATCCATGAAGGGGATACAGTTCTTACCAAAGTACAAAGAGACAGAATAATAATATGAGAATAACAATAAACCACCGAGGGAGATAAAAGTAAAGAGAGTAAAAAGAAGAAAGAAATAGATAAAAGGACCTCCAGCTACCAATCTGTCAGTTGTGTATTTGATATTTCTTGATGCTGAATCTAGGTTATTCAATTATTCCTCCCCTTGCTAGATTTTGTTTTTCCAGCCTTCCATCCAGTGCTCTCCAGTTCCATTATCAGTTGCTTTCCGGGGGGGGGGGGGAGGGCGGCATGCCATGTTCTTGGTTTGCACAGAATGGCCTTTCCTTACCTGGGGAGACAAGGTTTGTTTTCCCATTCTATAAAGGTCTGGAGGCTCTGTAGCCTAGTTATTCTGGCTTTGGTTGGTACCTGAGTAGGATGTTCATGCAAAGTGTTCTAAAAGATCCCGGCTAAAATGGGAACAGGAGCAAATGTGCTAGAATAGGAGTTCAGAATCTTCTGCAAAAGTGGCATGACAGTCTTAAGCAGTTTGTTCCCACTCCTTCTCCCTGCAGGAAAAACCTCACAACAAACAGCACCTCTCGGGAAGTTAGATACCCAACTTTTTATATTGCTTGGGAAACGCCTAATTATTGCAGATACGACAGGAGCAGTTTATTTGTTTAGAGATCATTAGTCTTCATTTACTTTTCCACTTAAACATACTTGCTGTGTCAAAGTAGGTGTTCAAGTGAGATAGTGGCATCTGTGGCATGTGTTCCGGAGCAAATATTTTGGCACCAGGATTACCCACAATGAACACATCTACGCAATCCTTTCTCCTTTAGAACCTCACAGGAATGCATTTTCCCCCCTTCTGATTTTTAATTTGAAGGGAAATATCTGGCCAAACAAATAACTTCAGATACTGCGTTTGGATTTCAGGGTCATGTTGCCTTAATAGAAACGGTACATTTTAAAATGTACCTTTTGTGTGTTTTTTGAAAGCAAAATAAAAATAAAAATCTGTTACCTGCTCCTCCCTCTGTGACACCCACCCACCTGGTATTTTATTTTTTTAAATCCCTTGTGTCATTGCTAATCACATTGTTAACCTAATGTGTGGTTAGACCCTTCAATCAGTAGCCAAGGCTCAACAGAATATAGTAGACTAGTTAATAATGCCAGTGATCTGCAAGAATGGAAAAGGTGGGGAAATCTTGACTTCTGTGAACAGATAATAATTTAGGATGCTGTAGTAGTAAGGGGCTTTCTAAATGGTGGGCACAAATCTGCATTATGTATAGAAGGGTTTTCTTTTGTTTTGTTTGACAGCAAAGACAACGCACAAATACACCAAATTGCTGCTGCTGTAGAGCTTGTGGGAAATCCTGTAGGGAACAATTAATGGTCAAGTCCTCCTTCCCATGTGTGCTCAAGCCTCTTTGTCATTTCATATGTAAGATGAGATAACTGAATGCAGTGGCAGCAGGAATGGGCAGCAGGTTGCTATGGGGAACTTGCAAACTATAAATGGAGAACGTATTGTTTGTGGTATTCCCAAAGCCAGAGTTTCTTGAGATCGTTTGAATGGAAATTCTGCAGATAATGATTATGCTATCATTGGGTAGTACTCCCACCCCCACCCCCACCCAACAAAAAGTTAGAGTATCTTGTTTTCAAAATGCATGTTTTTATTTTTGTACTGGAAACAAAGCAGTAGTTTTATAGTGAGGTTAGGTGGGGGGGGGGATGCCAAAAGAGAGCTGCTTATTACATTGCATTTATATTTTTGTTCCACCCTCTTCATCCAAACAGTTTGGAAAGCATATTTAATTTTATCTTTCCTGCCCCCGCCCCCCGCAGTTTTATCCACCCAACAGCCCTGTTAGGTAGTCCAGGCCAATAGAAAGTGACTGCCTCTAGGCCACCAACTAAGCTTTGTGAATATGAACTGACCAAGTCCTGGTTCAGCCACAAGAGCTATATCTGATTTCATAAAAATGCAGAAATCTCAGCTGGAGAAATCTCAGGCATGCTAAAGCAATGAGTCTTGCACATTTAGAACCGTTTATGGAAACCAGTTGACATTCACTATATGTGCCCTCTAAATGTTGAGGTTAGTCCTTTGATTTTAAAATGCTGTGTGTGGGTTTTTTTTTGGGGGGGGGGTCAAGGAAGATATATTACATGAAGTTCTAGATAAACATTTTTCAGAAGATGTTATCTAAATTATAAAGCCTGGCCTCTTGCCTTGAGTTGAGTTTTGTTTTGTTTTGTTTGCTGGCCCAGCCAAGTCAATACTCCTGAGATTTGATAAGTATTTTTGTCAAATCTAAAATTATATTTTCATGTTTTCTTGTAAGGAAGCTTCTTGTGGTCAAGTCAAGAAGACTTGAAATAGAAGTCTGATGGAAAGACTGTTTCCGAATCAGACTCTACTCTCATCCTGCTTTTATAGAAGGCCCTCTTAAAGATTATCAATCCCCCCCATAAGAGATGCAGGCTATTTCAGCACTGTGATGTGTACATACAGTGGTACCTCAGGTTAAGTACTTAATTTGTTCCGAAGGTCCGTTCTTAACCTGAAACTGTTCTTAACCTGAAGCACCACTTTAGCTAATGGGGCCTCCTGCTGCTGCCGTGCTGCCGGAGCACAATTTCTGTTCTCATCCTGAAGCAAAGTTCTTAACCTGGGATACTATTTCTGGGTTAGCGGAGTCTGTAACCTGAAGCGTATGTAACCAGAGGTACCACTGTATCTCACTTTTACCTCTAGTGGATAGGTTTTGCAGGTTATTGGATAGCAGACATTTCCAAAACCTGACTGAGTAGTGCATGATAGGGAATCTCAAGCCCAAAGGCCCCTCTGTCCAGCCCTTGGGAGGCAACACCCACCAGCAGCCCTACTCTGTGCGCTCCTTCAGTGAACTCTTAGAATCATAGAGTTGTAAGGGACCATGAGGGTCATAATCTTAATCTTAGGGCCATGGGTCAAGCCCCACGTTGGACAAAAGATTCCTGCATTGCAGGAGGCTGGACAAGATGACCCTCGCTGCAATGCAGGAATCTCAACTGAAGCACCCATGATATATGGCCTTCCAATCTCTGCTTAAAAACCTCCAAGGAAGGCGAGTCCACCACCTTCCGAGAGAATCCATTCTGCTGTCGAAGAGCTCTTACTGATGTTTAGTTGGAATCTCCTTTCTTGTAACTTCAAGCTCCTACCCTCTGAAACGGGAGCTTGCTCTATCTTCCATGTGGCAGCCTGTGATGATCGCACAGGGTCCCCGGACGTTTAACGGTCTATTGATCCCTGTGCCACCACTGTGCTCGCTTCCCCGCTGCCACCAACCAGTTACTCTCTGGTAAAACACTGAGTCTAGTCAGTTGTTAAAAGTGAACCAAAAAAAACCAAGTTTATTTTACAAACATTAACAAATTTATGGTTTCTCAAATAATATTCCTGTCAGTATCTTAACTTTAGTTTCTTTACCAGCCTATACCTTCCTAATACCTTCTGACTGATTATCTCAACTGTTTGACTGACTCCTCTTAACAAATTCTCTCCCTCTCTCACACCAGACTAGCCCAACCCACAGACTTATCTTCTCTGTCTCTCCTAACTCCAGACTGTCTCTTCAGCAACTCTAACTCTAACTCCTGACTTCTCCCCTTGGGTTCCCATTGGTTAGTCATTTTACAATTAGTTAACCCTTTCCTTATGAACCCAGTATGATGTCACACACCTAGGAGGGCAAACGCCACACAGCCCTTTAGATATATGAAGTTGGCTATCATATCTACTCTCAGTCTCCTCTTTACCAAACTAAACATTCCAGATTCCCTCATAGCATTTGACTTCCAGACCCTCAATCACCCTCCTCTGCTCACAATCTGGCTTGTCAACATCCTGCTTAAATTGTGGCACCCAGAATTGGACACAGTATTCCAGGCGTGGTCTGACCAAGCCAGAATAGAAAAATTCTCCCCCTCACTCTCCACTCTTTTAAAAGCTGTTGTTTGCCTCCAGCATCTAATGAAACTGCTTTTGGGGGACTTTTACATTAAGGTCTTGTGAATATGACTTTGATTCTTTTAAGTTCATTTTTTAAATATATATATATATAAAGTATTGTAAAAATGTGCAATGTTGTCAATGGGCTTCTTTCTTTTTCTTCCTTCATTTAGCTGGTGACAGGAGTATGGGAAGGCGGATACAATTTCTTCTGTCAGGATACGCACAGTGGAGGCGAAGCTGATATGAAGGTAACATTATAAGCTGACTCTACTGTTTTGCTTTGCTTCTTGCATTTGGAGCGAAGGTCAGTACAGTTCTTACATATTTGGGAAGGACATGTACCCTTCTCTGTTATTGCCAAAGGAAAGGCTTTGCTGTAATTTGCATGGTTTGATAGTGCCTTGAAAGGAAAGTTAGTGCATCGTCACTAAATCCATCTAGTCCATCCAGAGTTTCCCAAACTTGGGTCTCCAGTTGGTTTTGGACTACAGCCCCCATCCATCCCTGATCTGCTAGCTAGGGGTGATGGGAGTTGTAGTCCAAACACAGCTGAAGGCCCAAGTTTGAGAAACCCTGATCTAGACATATCTGAACATAAAGGAGTAATGCAAGCACCCATTGTTGATAACTCAAGGCTTGTAAGAAGTACAGCCCGCTCTGTTCTGTGTATTGCTACTTAACGTATGTTTTCAGTGGATCTCTCTGAAATTCCTAGCTTGAAACTCCCTCGTTTTATGAGGAGCCTGTCTCTGTAGGGTGTGTGGGAAATACATGTAACTGTAATTTGGCTTACTGGCACTGAATAAAGATACTTTCCTGGAATAAAATTGTGCTTTAGTTGGTTGAATTCATCATTTGGCAGTGCCACGGGTGATTTGGTACACTTAAAAACTGGTGCACATCCCTTCCGTCGTTAACAAGGAGATGGAGATGGCAGTGCTTGCTCCAAGTTACTGCATTGGTTTAGGAGCCATGCAGATAAATATTCAGGAGGCAATTGAACATGTTCTCCTTCTGTCAGCTGCTTTCATTTCTAGCATTAAAGGATGCTAGACAAGACATAGAAATCACTGTTCCAACTTAGCCAGCCATGAATCTCTGGCTTAACTCCGTCTTGCGCATAGAGCCAAGTGAAGGGTGGTTAAATGTTTTGGGTTAGTCAATATCTATAAGCCTAGCCCTACCGCACAAGGTTGTTGTGAGACTAAAATGGGGGACACCGCTTCTAATATTGGATAGCTTTAGCATACTCAAGAATCAAAAGTTTTGTGTCTCTTTTGTAGGAAATGTATACATTTCTGGGCATTCCGCAGTTTTCCATTTTGAGCTCTTGATGCTGGAGGTATACAAACTTTTGCAAACAAAGTGATAATTTAAAGAAAGCATGAAAGCTTTTCACTAGCTTGAATTGCAAAACTTGCTCACTGTTTTGTAAGATATTGTTTGGACCTAATAAAGGTACTGCCCTGATGTAGGTTTTTGGATTTCCAACCACGCCCACTATGGACCAACACAGCTATTGGCTATCACTTCCCCTCCCCTTGCCCCACTTTGTCACAGGGTGAAGGAGATGCTAGACTAGTAAAATCAGCCAAATGGCATTGCCATGGGTAGTGGTGAGAGAAAGGGCAACCATTCAAAACACAACCCACCCCCCTGCATGAGAGTTGAGTTGTTCTTCATCCAATCCTTGGCTCTCTTAATGACCCGGTTCCTCCTGAAAGAGATCCGTTTCCTGTAACCATTGTTCCCAGCAGCACGCTGTCACTCCTAGCATTGTAGTGTGGTCAAGAGGCAGGCTGGGTTCATTGTTCTCCAGCTGACCATGAGAACTTCTGGGACTTGGTTTGCGTTATACAGTAACTGAATGGGAACTTAGAAGATGGTTGCTAGAAACATAAGCTTGTGGTTAATGCAATGTGGCATAGAAGCCACTATGCCCATAGAAATTCTAAGCTACCTAGCACAATTCTCCCCTAAGGAGCTCAGGGTAGAGCACATATGCGAGGAGATTTTGCTTCTAGCACTGCACCCTATGGAATATCACTATGAACGTTTTCCACCCTTTTTTCTACAATATAATATAATTATAATAATTTATTATTTTTACCCCGCCCATCTAGCTGGGTTTCCCCAGCCACTCTGGGCGGCTTCCAACAAAAGATTAAATATACATTAAAAAAACCAGTCCTTAAAAACTTCCCTAAACAGGGCTGCTTTCAGATGTCGTCTAAATGTCAGATAGTTGTTTATTTCTTTGACATCTGATGGGAGGGCGTTCCACAGGGTGGGTGCCACTACCAAGAAGGCCCTCTGCCTGCTTCCCTGTAACTTTGCTTCTCGCAATGAAGGAACTGCCAGAAGGCCCTTGGTGCTAGACCTAAGTGTCCGGGTTGAATGATGGGGGTGGAGACACTCCTTCAGGTATACTGGGCCAAGGCCTTTTAGGGCTTTAAATGTCATCACCAACACTTTAAATTGTGCTCAGAAATGTACTGCGAGCCAATGTAGATCTTTCAAGACCGGTGTTATATGGTCCTGGCGGCTGCTCCCAATCACCAGTCTAGCTGCCGCATTCTGGATTAGTTGTAGTTTCCGGGTCACCTTCAAAGGTAGCCCCATGTAGAGCGCATTGCACTAGTCCAAGCAGGAGATAACTAGAGCATGCACCACTATGGTGAGACAGTCTGAGGGCAGGTAGGGTCTCAGCCTGCGTACCAGATGGAGCTGGTAGACAACTGCCCTGAACACAGAATTGACCTGCGCCTCCATGGACAGCTGTGAGTCCAAAATGTCTCCCAGGCTGTGCACCTGGTCCTTCAGGGGCACAGTTATCCCATTCAGGACCAGGGAGTCCTCCACACCCGCCTGTCCCCCCAAAACAGTACTTCTGTCTTGTCAGGATTCAAACTCAATATATGAAACATCATCCATTGGTTCCCTCTGGTGTCTTATAAATACATACAATTTTGCCCAGACTTTTCTGGACCAATAAGGTTAGACCTTGTCATTACTGGATTTTTGTTTTTATACGACTGTCTATGTTTGTATCTCTGTTTTTAGGATACTATTTTATTGTTTTTATGTTGCATTATTGGACACCACTTAGATGTTTTTAAATACTGAGCAGTTTAGAGGTTCTCTTAAATAAAAAGCAAATAAAAAAGCTCATGTGGTGTAGGATAGGCTAAGAAATAGTAGCTTTCCCAAGATTAGTCAGTGAAGTTCATGGCTAAATTGGGAATCCTGGAAGAGGTTCTCCACGCTCTTTCTTTCCTGGGGTGTTAGATGTTGAAGTCTTAGAGTGAACCCTATTGGAACATTTCTGAATCCTGCCAGGATATCCCAGACAGATTTCTTTACCTGTCAGTGTCCAGCAAGCAAAATGTTCTTATAAAAGCAAATCTGAAATTGGCCTGCAGTCAAAAGAACTGGAAAACCATGAAACTATTTTTAACTTGTCTCTCCCTCGGAACATAGTGCCTGAAAATTACATCTCCCATTATAGCCAGTGAACAAATAAGAATCATAATTGCCTAATTCCCTCATTTTCAGTTCCTTTGTTTCTTATAGTACTGAACACTTCTAAGGAAACACTTTTTGACATTTGCATGTGACAGTTTGAATGGAGGAACAGTAATAACTAGCGACAAAGAATGAAGTATCTCATATCCTTCGAGAGGACACTGTGAGACAGATGTAGTGCACAACTCATTATATAAAATGATAAAATTAGATCACAGACAGAAGCAGTGTTTTAAAACCTGAAAAGAAATGACCCTGTTACAAGTGTCTGCATTTCAAAAGCAGCAAGTAACTTCTTTAGTGAAGGCTACAAGACGATTCCACTTCTGTGTTGTTTTGCAGCATCCCAGGAAAATCAGCTGTCTTCTTCTGTTTTCCATGTTAGTTTGCTTTAGCTGATGCAAATCGATAAGCTTATGCTTTTACAAGTTACCTTTTAAAAAAAGAAAAGAATGAAAGATATTTCAGATGTGTAGATGTTAAAAGCATGAGCAGTATCACCCCAGGTAACTTTAGGACGCTGTTATGGGTGACACCAACTTGACTCAACTAAATTTTGGACGGCTAATTTAGTTAGTGGTGCCAAAACCCAGTAGGCCAAGGGTGGGGAACTGCAGGACCAGGGGCCAATTGTGGCCCTTCAAGTTTCTTTAGGACTTTTTGGTCTGGTGTAGTCCCAGAAGTCCAATACGACATGCCTTTTGGGTTCTCATGCCTAGAGCTTTTGAAACATCACTGAAAGGTCAATCCATGTAATCATGCCAATGAGTTTCCTTTCTAACTTTCAGAATCTCCCTATTATGAAATTTGGGGCCAGTTCAGATGTCACAATCTTGGCCTGATAAACCATGTTTTGCTCAAATGGGAATGAGCCATCCCCTGTATACATTCTCTCACCTGCTTGGGTGATTGTCTTCAGAAGAGATGTCTGGGTTTCTTATACCAGAGTTCTCTGTGTCATCCAAACCAGAAAGGGTGATTGGCTCTTACCAAAGAACCAGATAGGCTCTTACCAAACCAGGAGACATAGCACCAAACAATGAGGTGTCTTGGATTTTGTGTGTGAAGTGTATGGGCTTAAAATGGACAGTAGTGTTCTTTCAATTTATTGAAAGTAGACAGCTGTTTTCTTCATCTTCCAACCAGCAGGTTAGCTGAAGTCTACACACTCTTCTTTCTTCTTCTTTTCATTGACATTATAGAAATAAGATTAATATGTTAGGGAAGAGATGATGTTATACGTTGAGAGGGATTCCACATAATGGGGGACAGTATCATCATCATCAGATTTATGTGCATTGGACTGAAAATCAACTTCCTGTGGAGAGAAATGTGGGAAAGATTTCACCCCAAATAAAAGTTCTAATTTTTCCAAAATTGGCTCTTCTCCATACAACAGTGTGGATATCTGTTTGCTCACCTTTCTGAACTCCAGTTTGGTTTTCAAGTTCTCAGTGTCAGGCATGAGGTTGAACAGTTCCGTGTCCTGTAACATCATCTTAACACAGGTTTTGGCATGTTTGTGGAACAAGAATTCTTCGTGATTTCACATTACGGTTGCTTGCTTGCAGCAGTGTTTCTCTCCTTCCACATCAGCCCAATCTTCTGTGCCTCATTCTCCCCAGCCTGGAGGAAAGCAATTTCCTTTTAGGGAATACAGTAGCACAATCCTCTGTTTGTTGCTCAGATTGTTCTTCGGAGATCACAGTAGCAGTGTAGAGATTAAAACCTCTCCCCTGAGTGTCTTGGTGCACCTGAGGTACACTTGAATAGGCTTCTAAATCATTGCCTCTTTTGCTTTAGTCACTGTTTTGGTTTTATGACTACAATCCAGAGCATGCCCGGGGACTTAGGTCCTCCCAGAAAGCACCTTACTTTATTTTGAACAGCACACATGCATTGCTGGCTGTTTTTGAAACTTCCCTGTCTTGGGGACAACATAGCAAGCTGCCTTCGACCTAGCAAAATCAACAACTCTCAGGTCAAGACCAAAGCCCTGCTGAGAACATGGAGCAAGTTACCCTGTTCTGGTAACTAATGCACAAAGAGGCTTCTGGGAAGGGTGTCAGAAAGCCACATATCCCATTCACCAACCTGTACATCTGCTGTGTACTCTGGCCCAGCACATCATTGGATGTGGGCACCTTAAACCCTGTTCAGGAGGTAGTATACATCTTTGTGGACGAGGCCTTCTCTCAGACATGACTGGCACATGAGTCAGCATTTAAGGGGCCATGTTCAGTATCTAGAGATAAGAATGGAGAGGCCTCCTCTGCCACTCGGTCAGCATTGCCTCATGCAACTCCCACCTTCCTCATCTGCCTGTACCAGCCTGATGGCCTACTTGCTGCATCAGGTCAGAAAGAAGGCAGCACTGGTACACTGGGCTGGAGCTGCCACTAAGTATTTGTGCCTTCAAGTATCTTTTAAGTTTGTTTTTTAAAGTGGTCCTGGGGATAGCTCAGTCTGTTGAGCATGAGGCTCTTAAGCTCAGGGTCGTGGGTTTTAGTGCCACGTTGGGCAAAAGATCCCTGCATTACAGGGGGTTGGATTAGACCCCTCCCATGGTCCCTTATGACTGTACAATTCTGTGATCTATATTTTATTATGTCTACTTAGTTCCAAATCTGTAGACTTTACTGCTATTTTCTTATGACTACTTTATGTGAACTGCTTAGAGGTGTTTTTTTAAAAAAAAAATAAGTGGCTTATTCATTTTGATAGATGATGATGATAGATAGGTGATAGATGATAGGTGATAGATAGATAGATAGATAGATAGATAGATAGATAGATAGGTGATAGATCATGACTGTCACACTGTATGGCTGAGCACCCAATAACCCAATTTTCAGTCGCCTCTGATGGTTGTTGACCATCAACCAAACTTGGCTAAAGCATTCTGCTGGCTCTCTTCCTGAGATCATCATTTCTGAATGATGGTGCTGTTATTGGCAAAGCATATTATGTAACACTAAGCCATCATTTGCTCATCGCTTGTTGAACAAACCATGGTTAAAAGAACCTCAGAGACCAGACAAGCCATGATTTATTTCTGCAAAGCTTTGTTTCCCACCTCCTGCTCTTGCCTCATGCCTGTGTAGCTTGGCGTGTTCCACTGCACTTAATGCAAGCCATGGTTTCACATGCATCGGCCAAGCTATGGCTTTAAATAGTGGTTTGTTGCTACAAAATAACCAGGGTTAGTATGCTAGGCTGGATTCAAATGAATGACACAGCATTCTGTTTGAACTAGACCTATATTGCAATGATTATTGATCACCAGGATCTGAGGGGCGGGGAGAGATTATTTGCTGGGTCAGTAGAATTGCCATGAGCGGTCTTATTTCATTTGCCTCTGTGGAACAAATGCCTGACCTCTTTCCCTCTCCTTTTAGATCATACGTGTCCTTTGGTGGTACTACTTCTCAAAGCTCATCGAGTTCATGGATACTTTCTTCTTTATATTACGGAAAAATAACCACCAGATCACCGTTCTTCACGTCTATCACCATGCAACAATGCTTAACATCTGGTGGTTTGTTATGAACTGGGTGCCTTGTGGCCACTGTAAGTATTCTTGTAATTCATGATGAGAGACCTGTGTGTGTGTGCATTTCCTGAAAGACTCCTTCTGTTTGAAGAGGGCGTGTTAATGCACACCTTCACTTCTTGCGAAAACCATCTCCTTGGTTGGAAATGGGTAGGGTTGTGCTGGTTTGCCAGCAGCTTGTAACACCAACCTCCTCCTCAAAGCTGTGTCAGTTCTGTGTGTCTCCTTCTGTTCTTTCAGCTGTTATCCAACTGCTCTTAGGGTTTTCTTAGCAAGCCATCAACTTTGCATACAAAATTTCTAATAACTTGAAGCCAAAGCTTTCATCTATCAAGCTCCTGGCCTTTTAATTTGTTCTCTGGTCAAATATTACTTGCAAGCTTGCTCTGTGGTTGGCTGGCAAGCCGGATTTGTTAAAGTACAATGGGAAACTGGCACTCCAAAAGTCTTCAAAGAACAGTGCATGGGAGCTGCCGTGGTTCCATGTGATCATAACTAACCTCGGTAGAACTATTTTACCTGCTTCCAGCCTGCTCTCTCTCTTTTAAATATAATGTTTATTAACTTTCCATTTTATAACATTTAAATACATCCTTATTTTTCCACAGTAAATTTTTTGCTCTTATGAGCTATTCGACTTCCCTCCCACCCGCCTCATGGTTACCATATTTCCTTTCTATCTCATAGCATTTGTATTTTTTCCTACTTATCTTTCACCAATTCAATTGTCACATATTTAAATCAATACAGTGATACCTCAGGTTACATACGCTTCAGGTTACAGACTCCGCTAACCCAGAAGTAGTGCTTCAGGTTAAGAACTTTGCTTCAGGATGAGAACAGAAATTGTGCTCCAGCGGCATGGCAGCAGCAGGAGGCCCCATTGGCTAAAGTGGTGCTTCAGGTTAAGAACAGTTTTAGGTTAAGTTCGGACCTCCAGAACAAATTAAGTACTTAACCCGAGGTACCACTGTATAAGAAGGTATGAATCATAATCGTTACAAGCCTTTTAGATCATTCCTGCTAGTGTTGTTAATTCTTTGCAATTGTCCTTCAAACATTGTACAAATTTACCCCAGTCCTTTGAAAAGCTTGATCATGCTGGTTTCTAATTTTCCCGGTCAGCTTCGCCAATTCTGCATATTCCATCATCTTTGTCTGCCACTCTTTCCATTTGGGGGCTAAAAGAGTCCTTGCTGCTGTAGTTATATACATCAACAGTTTTTATATCTCTCTTTGGCATTTCTTCACCTACTACAGTCATACCTCTACTTATGTATCCCTCCGGATACATAAACTTCGGGTTGTGAACACGGCAAACCCGGAAGTGTATACTTCTGGGTTTCACCCCGCACGCATGCGCAGGAGCAGCACCTCTGGATATGGACTTTTCAGGTTGCAGACGGACTCCCAGAGCGAATTAAGTTCGTATCCAGAGGGTCCACTGTAAACCAAATAGGAACGCTTCTGGTTTTTTAACAAACACACTCTCAGCCTGCTCTCTTTTTTTATTGTAATTAATCTTTGCATTTTAAAAAAATGTGCCAGTTAAATTGTAAGCCACGTTTGAGCATTTCTTTTAAAGGAAAGGCAGGAGAAAATGAATTTGAATGAACAACGACACTTGCAAACTGTACGGAGAATATGCAGAGCTGGCAATCCAGTGTTTGTAGCTGCTGCAGCAACCCATTGAAAGAAAGGGATGAGGAAACAGTTGCTGCTTGCTGCACTTTGATGCCCTTGGTGGCATCAGTTCTTTGATGATGCACATCTGGGTGTGAATTCACATTGGGGTACTCATTCAGCTGCAAAGCATCGGGTGCAGCAGCCTCTGCATATACGACCTGGTGCAGATAGGGCTTCCTGTTTCCATCTCTGCCTTACTATGCGGATGGAGTGAATGTCCCTAACCTGAAGGCTGAAAGCATGTTGTCGCATGCAACTGGATTCAGGATCAGAGCCTGTGAAGGAGCTGGCAATCTTGTTACCATTCATGTTGTTGTTTCATCCTCTTAGTCGTGTTCGTGACCCCATGAACCAGAGCATGCTTTGGAAACACTCACTTTTTTCTCAAAGCTTCTCCTTTTTTATATCCATGGAGTTTTCTTGGCAAAATACTGGTTTGCCAGTTCCTTCTCCAGGTGGATCACATTTAGTCTAAACTCTCGGCTATGACCTGTCCGTCTTGGGTGGCCCTGCACATCATAGCTCATAGCTTCCTGGAGTTATTCAAGCCCCTTTGTCACGACAAGGCAGTGATCCATGAAGGGGATTACCATTCATAGCCCACCTCTTAAAAACGCACTCCAAGCCAGTCTTAGGAGGGGAGAGACATTGCTCTTAAGGCAGTTAAACCCAATTTGCATGGCACATCTGACTTTGGACATCTGTGATTCTCTCTCTCTCTCTCTCTCTCTCTCTATATATATATATATATATATCATTGCCTTTGCAGTTTTGTGTTAAGTTTTTGAAAAGTTCAGCAGGTCAGAGGAATTGAAATGGGGCAGGGGGCGGGAAATAAATGAATAATGAATTGTAATAAAGGGAATATGTAATAGATAAAAGTATGTTATATATTGCAGAAGGAAAGGGCAGGAATGGAAACACCAGGGAGGGAGGACGGGGAAGTCAACTTCTTCTTATTATTATTATTAATTAAATTTGTATAAAATTTAAAGTTAAATTGTTAAAAAAACTTTGAAAATCAATAAAGAAAAGGAAAGTTCAGCAGGTCAGTTTAGTGGTTTAAACTTGCAACAAGAGTTCAAGCATGTTTGCTATAAGGCATATTGTTGCAAAAAAAAGTCAACTAGCATCTCTTTCTATGTTTGCAGCTTATTTTGGTGCCACCCTTAACAGCTTTATCCATGTCCTCATGTATTCCTATTATGGGTTATCGGCTGTTCCATCCATGCGTCCATATCTCTGGTGGAAGAAATATATCACGCAGGGGCAGCTGGTGAGTAAATGGTGCCTCTGTACATTCTTTTTTCCTCATATGCTTATGGTCACTGCTTATTTTTAACTCAAGCTAGCAGATATTGTGTGGGAAGGATCAAATGCTCTTCGGCGAGGAACTATGTGCTGTAGATTGTTGGGTGACCTGTGCGTTACTCTAATGGGGGACATTTAGTTATATAATGCCCCCTTCAGACTGGAGGTCAGAATCTTTTTAAGATGACGAAGCTGCATATAACAAAAGTAGAGAACCGCTTATACCCTAGCTACTGCTTACAAACCTCTCACTACTTGTACACCAAGTCACTTGTAAGTCGAGCTTTACTATGCTTTCCTAACCATGGAGGAATGGGAGCAATACTCAGCTCTTTTCACTGTCTAACTCAACCCTACAAGAAACAGCTGCTTGTGAACTTAAGACCAGCCACATGATATATTTTTAAGCAGTAGAGATTTCAGTAGCTTCCTTTGTTTTCAACGTGAGCTGCCTTAGGAAAGTGATAGATTTTGAGATACGTAAGTAAACTTTTAGTCTTTCCTCCCCCTTTCATAATACAGTGGTACCTCGGGTTACATACCCTTCAGGTTACATACGCTTCAGGTTACAGAATCCACTAACCCAGAAATAGTACCTCGGGTTAAGAAGTTTGCTTCAGGGTGAGAACAGAAATCGTGCTCCGGTGGCGCGGCGGCAGCAGGAGGCCCCATTAGCTAAAGTGGTGCTTCAGGTTAAGAACAGTTTCAAGTTAAGAACGGACCTCAGGAACGAATACTTAACCCGAGACACCACTGTATCGCTATGCTCTCTACTTGTGAATACTTGACCTTAATTGAATGGCACAGCTAAGGGGCCACACTTGTACAGGGTGTGCAGTTTCTACCCATCTCCCACTTGGAGAGCAATGGGGTCTTCCAAGGGGCACAACCACCAATCTCTTACAGCCAAGTACAAAAGGCAATTTAAAATCTCCACATTCATACCCAGCTATACTGCTACATAGGGAATGGTTTCAATGTACTCCTTTGTCTGTTTCCTTGTTCATCCTTTCATTATTCTTTTTCTTTTTTACCTTTAACAGACTCAATTTGTCCTGACAATCTTCCAGACAAGCTGTGGGGTGGTCTATCCTTGTCCATTTCCCCTGGGATGGCTGTACTTCCAGATAGGCTACATGATCTCCCTAATTATCCTTTTCACAAATTTCTATATTCAGGTAAATTAAGATTTATTCCTCTTTTTTTGTTCTTTGTTTTTTGCAAATGTCGATGAAGAAAATAACAACTAGAAAGTTTTTGTATCAGAATGCACTTCTAAAAATTAGTGGACAGTTGGATCCTTGCAGAAGACGTACTTGGTTAACTTCCCAGGACTACCACCAATAGTCAATTTTATAATTACTTTGGTGCTGTAATGCAGCAGCAGGAAGCATTCCCTGCCAACCGTAGGCAACAAATGGAGATGGGAACTTGCACTCTCTCTTATGCAGTTGCTGCTGTGTGAGAGGATTGGCCTTCTCTGCTGCCACTAGAATCTTATGTAATAGATACAAGGGGCAGTCAGTTCCTATTGACTTGACTAACCCCCCAGCCCCCCAGTGTTGGTCCAAAAAGCATTTCAAATGAACAAAATGGACTTTTCTGACATGGAAATGTGCTTGGCCTAGTGGCTGCAGCTACTTTGCAGTATTTACACAGTGGTCCCTATTCAGAGAAAGCCATTAGCATTTAAATCCCATTGGTGTTAGTTGCAACTAACTTTTCCCATTGATTTCAATGGAACATAGGCACAAGTGACTTAAACAGGATTGGGACCAGTTGCTTGGTATCAGGTCAGGTATAACTTAAAGCAATTTGTTTAATGAAGGAAACTACTTTTTCCTGAGCTGTTTTGGAAAAGAAACAACTTGAAGACATATTCAACGGTCTTTGGTTCTAATAGGAAAAGAGTAGCTATACGTAGTGGCTAGAGATACTATATATATTTGTTTTGTTTGGCTGTAATGCTAAACAAGACTTCCCCAAACTGATGTTCTGGACTACAACTGCCTTCATCCCTGACATTGGCCATATGAAATGAAACCATAGTTTAGTGTTGCAGAAATGAGTTCATGCGCTGCCCAAATATGGGGAGCTAGGAAACTTCCACATCAGTTTTAGATTAACCACAGCTTTCTGTGTTGTCTGAACTTAGCAGACTGGTTAATCTTAACTATGGTCAGTTGAAACCAAGCCAACTTCAAATTATAGGTTAAGAAACTGGCTTGTTTCAACAAACTGTAGTTGACATTAACCATAGTTTAGGGGCACATAGGCAAGAGCCTTGGTTTCATTCTTGCCTTACCTTTGGCCACTCTTCCTCCCACTAGTTTGCAAACAAACTGTAGTTTTCTGTTCCATTTTATATGGGAAGTTGTGGTTTGTACAAACCATACCTTGCTCCCATACCAAGATATCAAACAGGGATGTTATGTTTTGTTTTTGAATCTGAATAGGGTGTATGCTTCCTAGTCTTACGTCCATACGAAGGGGCAAGATGCTTGTTAAATAACAAAATGAAATTGGCAAGTTTGCTGCATTGTTGCTGTGTGGGGCGAAAGCTCACTACTGACCTATGTGATTTTTTTTTTTAGACTTACAACAAAAAGGCAGCGTCCAGAAGGAAAGAGTATCAGAATGGTTCCATGGCTGCTGTGAACGGGTATACAAATAGCTTTTCTTCCCTTGAGAACAATGTGAAGCAAAGAAAACAAAGGAAGGATTGAAGACCAAACTGAGAAGCCATTTTGATATTCCGGGCAACAACAACAACAACAAAAATCATCTGATTGTAAGCACAATATGTGTTGTGCACTGATATAATTCTTGACAGCTACTGTAGCTATTCCTGCCTAGAATAGTGTTGATTTATGTAGGACTTAACAAGTGCAAAACATCCTAGAAACTATCCATAGGCTCAAGTTGATGGTGTTGATCATACTGGGTGGTCACAGACACGAGTGTAAACTGTGGAAGGGAGTATTATTGTAGTATGTGTGCATATATCTATATATAAATACATAGATATATTCGTCACTGCAGTTGCCTTACTAGTCAATATGATAGGTGCTGAATTATGATTCACAATTTCAAGACTGTAATCCAAACTCATATTTTTTAACTGTAGATAATGCATGTGATTGTGATTTGTACAACAAAGGTTTTTTTGTCTGTGTTAAGGTGTTTTTCCTCCCCCAGTAGTTTAAAACACACATGCCTTAAATTTGAAGTAAAGCAGGGCCCAAAACTTAATACTGGTTTGAAAATGTATGGAAATGTTTTGACTCTGGGAGCGACTTCTCACGGGGCTGACACTCAGTTACCAAATAGACATGCTATAGTGTCTGTTGTGAACGGTGCACATGTGTAAAAAGAATGGCTTTCCCCCTCCAAAATGCTTGTTGGGTGGCAGCTGGGATAAGACATACTCATGTGCACTCTTGATCAATGATGCAGCCTGTGTGTACCCCTGTATTTGAGGATCCCAAGAACAAAATGGACTATTGAGAAGCCATCCTAGATGAGTTGGGCTCCTTTTGTGAGTCAACTAGAAGTCTGCTCTGTGTTGCACTGAAGTTGGAGTAATTCTCCCACACGTGATCTTTTTGAAATGAAAGATTCACTGGAAAAGCTGGACTCTTCATTTCAGTCACGACTTGTGCAGGAGAAAGACTTTTGATTGTGCTTACTGTCTTTTTAGTTCCATTATCACAAGTCTGCAGCAGTTTGGTGGTTCAGTTTGATTTTGTCAACTAGGTTTTAATTTGCATAAGTGACGGGGGGGGGAGTTAATTGGCACTTAAGCAGCATCCGTACCTGAATGCTGACTCTCTCCCCTTCTTTTAGCATTAGAGAATGCAATGGGGGGGGGGGAGAGAAATTTTACTTCCTTTAAAAATCAACATTCCCAAGTTGTAGCCTGTTCCTTTTAAAATTGCCACAGAAGTGTGAGATGAACCACCTGCGGCATTTTTCTTCCCTATCCTTCTGACCTGGAACTGTGTAGAAGCCACAGCTGGTTCATCTCCCCAGTTCATTAAAAGTTTTAAAGATGTAAAAGTGAATCTCCAGGTTGTGTCCTGGCCAGCCAACCATTGACATACCTGCCATTTAACTGCATAGCAGTTTTCTGACCGTTGCAGAAGTTGTGACATGTCCACATTCTCCATTGTTTGACAAAACTCAGCTTACAATTCTTAGCTGGTGTTTTTCTTGCTGTTTGCATAGCAAGCTTTGAGTCGGATTCCAACAGCCACAGGTGGAATCCCACTGGCAGAACAGGGTTTCCATCACTTCCCTTTTTCTCAGAAAGCTGACCCGGAGTTCAGAGGATCTTTGAGAATGATGAGTATGGGGTGTGGCTTGTGGCAAGGGGGGCTACAGCTGAGAGGAAATGGGGCGCTCCCTCAGAGCAAGCAGAGATACCCTTCATTCATATGGAGTCAGCCTTCGGATCCAAACCATTGACTTTAAAAATGTGCCTATAGCAAAGGTGTGTGTGTGTGTGTGTGTGTGTGTGTGTGTTGGAAAGTGTGCAAATTGGGCCATGCCAGACTTTCATTGTTGTCATCCGAAAAACCGTTGGAAATAGGTTGGTGATGAATGTCTGTTTCTTAGTGTGTGTTGTGTATTTCACCTGTACTTCCTCGGCCTGTTAAAAGTTTATTAAGAAACTTGTATAAAGTGTGTTGGAACCCCCCCCCCACTTGCAATGTCATAAAGCAGGCACCTTTAATGGATATACTATGTTATTTGGTGGAGTTTTAGCCTATTAACTTGTTGGTCATTGAAATTCATTTGTCTCAAGCCATCCTACTGCTTCCATCCCCCAAGTTTATATATTAATTATAATTTGATATTTATACAAATATCCGTTTTACCATGTTTTTGCACAGCTGCTATTGGGGGAACTAATGTGTTTTCCCTAATGGGCTCGCATAATATTTTTATTTTTTATTTTTTGCTTGTTTTTGAAATGAGAGGCAGAACCAGTTTATGTTTGTCTGCTTTATGTTCTCAAAGCTTGTGTGTATGTATGTGTCCTTGGTTTCTAGGTACTGATTTGCAAAGTCTTTACATATTTCATACAGCAGCTTCATCATTCAAAATATGCTGTCTAAACATGTGTGCTAAAAATAAAAAAACTAGCTTGTCTGAAATATCGACATTGTCAACATTTTGTGTTTTTAATCATTAAATTGTTATTGAGTACCTGTGCCTGCGTTTCAATACAGTGGCATCTTAGTGGATTTGAGAAGCTTTGCCGTGGAAGTGAAATTTTCATTATTAACAGTTCTGTTATGTGCAAATGAAGCCATCAACTGACCACTAAACCATGGCTTAGTGTTACGTGGGTGAGCCTGCACGAGCCTATAAACACTGGGCTCATGTAGTCCCTTCTGCCACATGGCTTGGATAAGTAATTTACCTAAGTTTAGTTTTGCATAAGTATTAAGGTAAAAAAAACAGGTAAAGGACCCCTGGACAGTTAAGTCCAGTCAAAGGCGACTATGGGGTTGCTGCGCTCATCTCACTTTCAGGCCAAGGGAGCTGGCGTTTGTCCACGGACAGCTTTCCGGGTCATGTGGCCAGCATGACTAAACAGCTTCTGGTGCGACAGGACACCGTGATGGAAGCCAGAGCGCACGGAAACACTGTTTACCTTCCTGCCACAGGGGTACCTATTTATCCACACACACTGTTGTGCTTTCAAACTGCTAGGTTGGCAGGAGCAGGGACCAAGCAACGGGAGCTCACTCCGTTGCAGGGACTCAAACCACTGACCTTTTGATCAGCAAGCCCAAGAGGCTCAGTGGTTTGGACCACAGCACCACCCGCGTCCTGCTAAGTATTATGTACAAAACAATGGTTAGTTAAACAAGCCAGCTTCATAATGTTTGGTTTTGAAGTTGCCTTGTTTAGAAGCCAGCCACTGCTCTTTATAAACCAGGATTCCTAGTTTGTACTTAACACTAAGGGATTGTCCACATTTGATCATTATTTAGCTATTGACCCCCCCCCCACCCCCACTTTTGAATTATACCAAAGTAGTCCACACCTGCACATATTTGCATTCATAGATGAGGAGGAACTTGGGTCTTTCTCGTTTATACCAGTAGGTGTCTCATTTTGTATTTGTCTCTGCCTTCTAATTTGTTGATTCTGTTATGCTAACCATAGCTGTCAACTTCTCCCTTTTCTTGCGAGGAATCCTATTCAGAATAAGGGAATTTCCCTTTAAAAAAGGGAAACGTTGACAGCTATGACGCTAACTCAGTAATGACTATGCATGCCTGCAGATAGGTGTGCATGCATCATTAAAAAAAAAAATCCCCAGACAAGAAGAGTGCTGGACCACACAAGCAGGGAGTTGTAGATGTGCATGTGCAGTTTTCTGGTTTTGTGCAAATGTGAAAGTTCAAAATGGAGACAAAATTCCTGCATTCAGGAGCATGCAAGAAAAGAAATGAAAGCATGTGTGGTATGGCTTCATGGCATTCAATGATGTCTGCATAAAAAAAAGATCAACTTCTCAAAATTATCAGAGGTACACAATTCAGATCACTCTGAGGTCCACTTAACATTCTGCAACATTCAGTGGAGGTTTTGTTACTTTTTTGACCCAGCATTTTTCTTTGCTGCCTGGTATATAAAATTCCTTTTCTCATAACACAAAGAGACCCTCAATTTTCCCCACTGCAGGTCTATTCAAACTTCTCCTTTCTTAAAAAATAATGATGATATAAACATACAAAAAAACCCAGATTCTAACAGCCCCCTGAGTCACCAACCCTTGTAGCCACTGTGGTACCAGGTTGTATATCTATATAATTTTTGCTCTTTCCTCCTTTCTTCATTAGCTTTCATCACTTAACCCTCACAGAGGGTCTGCTAATTGTCGAGAGAATGGTGTCTTATCGTATGCTGCACACTCCTGTTCTATATTCTTCTTAAGAGATGTGGGCTAGTCTTGTGAACATGGAAGTTTAACGTAGGAGTCCCAGGCCACAATCCAGTCAACTACTTGAGGCTTGGCCAAGGATCGCATACCCTCAATGGGATGTCTGTTCCTCCTGGTATCTTGACATCAACATTCCTCTCTTCTTCCCTCCCCCTCCCACATCTATCACAACCTACTACAGTGGAACCTCTACTTGCAACCATAATCCATTCTGGAGGTCTGGTTATAACTAGAAATGTACATAAGTAGAAGCACACTTTTCCATAGAAAGTACAGTGGTACCTCGGGTTAAGAATTTAATTTGTTCTGGAGGTCTGTTCTTAACCTGAAACTGTTCTTAACCTGAAGCACCACTTTAGCTAATGGGGCCTCCCACTGCTGCCGCGCCGCAATTTCTGTTCTCATCCTGAAGCAAAGTTCTTAACCCGAGGTAATATTTCTGGGTTAGCAGAGTCTGTAAACTGAAGCGTATATAACCTGAAGTGTATGTAATCCGAGGTACCACTGTAATGGAAAAGTGAATTGATCTGTTCTAGACGATGAAAAACACCCCCTAAAACAGCAATTTAACATGGATTTTACTAACAATACCATAGATCCATAAAATGTAGGCAATAATCAATGTACTGAACTATAAAATAAATAAGACAGTATTGTAGATGAAAACATTTATTTTTTTCCTTATGTGCGCTGAGGGTGGGTGGGCTTACCTGGCTACAAGCTGGGGGTGGGGCAAGGGTCAGTAAAGAGCTGATTCACTTTGGC